GATGTCTTTTATATGTCGTAAGATGATCCGTTTACTGCTTCCTATACTTGATTTCGTTTGTGCTGATGAAATTTCGTAGGTAGCCATTTGTTTTAAAGGATCGTTTTTTTCATATTTTTCTTCATTTTTCCGCTATGCTAGTGTACTCACCCTCTCGAATAAAGTTTGTACTCAGTTATTTTTGTGAGTTTTTAGGTTGTTAGTACTGTAGTTCATAATTTAATATGTCTGGGTTGGCTTTTGATATACTTGAGTTTCAAGTTTCCTTGTGTTGTTTCTAGTGATCAATACATTCAAGAATGTTAGTTTGTTGTTCAACTCCTTTTCATTCGTGAATTTTATGTCATCGGAGATGTTGCTGATCAAATTATAGATGTTTTACAGCTCACCCCCTTTTGATTTCACTTAGATATGATATCTATAAATAGACTTTTCCAGGAAAAACCCATTTTCTTCCGTTCTTTGTATATTCTCTGACATAGATTCATCATAGTATTGTGGTGTGGGCTACTTATATCCACACAAGTAGTATATAATGATGGTCAGGCATTCAATGTATTTTAGTAGAAGATCGATAAGGAAAGGACGGGAACGAAGCGCAATTGAAAATGCCTGAACAATAATAATAATCTGAGACTATGGACTGATATTCAGAGAAAGAATCGTCATGATTGTGAGAAGTGATTGATTGTTTATAAATTAACTGTTTACTGTATGGTTGTCAGATTTTAGTGAGATAGTCTGTAATTTTCGTGTCAAATACATTCGATTGTCCCCACTCATGTTCTCTATTCACTAAAGTATGACCTTCAAGTGAACTAAAATCATTTTTTTAAAATTATTTTGCATCTCAATTACCAAACTATTGACTATGCACTATAAGACTTTTCTTTAGGATGAAAGACCTAATATTATTACTATCAGTTGAAGTTAGACATTAAAACCAGTGGATGCCGACTCAGTGGTCTATCGGTTAAGTGCTCTGGCGCGAGACTGGTAGGTCATGGCTTCGAATCTTGCAATTGCGGGATCGTGGATGCGCACTGCTGAGGAGTCTTATAATAGAACGAAACGACCGTTCAGTGCTTCCAGACTTTCCATGGTGGTCTAGCTTCAATTGACTCAGGCTTTCAACTATTATTACTAATACTATCCATATATGCCCACCCTCACATAGAAACAGAATTGGGTAGTCGACTACCTTATAAGAATCGATTACCCATAATTCCATAAAAAAATTGATTGAACAACCATCATTTCAAGTAATGATGTATATCAGTAATAAATTTAAATTAATGATCATAATGAAAAGAAATGAAAAACAAACAAAACATCATTTATAATTAAATGTGATGAAGATACATCTTATGAGGTCAAAGTGTCTTTTTTAATGATAATTTATCTAAGATATGATGAAAAGGAAAAAAAGAGAGAATTTTATTGTAAATATACAGTGTATACTACTTATATTGATATAAATAAGTAGTAGTATGTAATAACAATCATAAATGGAATGCCTAAAAGTAGAAGGTTAAGAAGATCAAATAGAAAAGAACAAGAATGTAAACAAAGAGTGATTGTAATAATAACAAGAATGAAAGGACGATGAAGTTAGTAAGAGATGATTGATCGAAGATATACAAACAAAGTATTTGATGTATAGTTTTCATGCTTTACATTAAATAATGAATTGGTCTTGCCCATCTGGGTGTTTGTTCACTATGTGTACATTGTTTAGCAATTTAAAGTAAAAATTAGTAATTAGGAAAAATGATTAAAATACTAACTACTTAAAGGTTTCAAAGTGCAATTTGTCTAAGATTGAAAATACTTACTTGGTAACCTACATTTGTAACCCCTCATGAAGGAGCATAGGACACCCACCAGCATTCTTCATTCAATTCAGTCCTGGGAAATCCTGCCCAGTTGCTATTAATCATTTTCGTACCTGCTTCAAATTATCGATGCAGTGTGTTCTTTGACCTTCCTCTTTTCCGTTTCCTTTCAGGATTCCAAGTTATCACTTGCTTCGTGATGCAGTTTGGTGATTTCCTCAGTATGTTTCCTATCCACCTCCAGCATCTTTTCCTAATTTCCTCCTCATCTGGAAGTTTGTTTGTTCTTTCCCGTAGTAGGCTGTTACTGATGGTAGCCGATCAACGGACATTCATTATCTTGAGTAGACAATTGTTTATAGATGCCTGTACACTTTTGATGATGTTTGTAGTAATTCTTCAAGTCTCACTTCTGTACAGTAGAAATGTCTTGATGTTCGTTTTGAAGATTCTGACTTTGATGTTGGTTGAAAGTTATTTTGAGTTCCATATGCTCTTCAACTGTAGGAATGCTGTCTTTGCTTTGCCAATCCTCACCCGCACGTCTGCATTAGATCCTCCACGTTCATCAATGATGCTACTCAGATACGTGAATGTTTCAACCTCTTCCAGAGTTTCTCCATCAAGTGTGACTGGGTTGTATTTGAAGGTGATGCTTTTGCCCTTGTGTATGTTGAGGTCTAACGCTGCAGAGGCTGCTGATACACTGTTTGTCTTGACCTGCATTTGTTGGTGTATATAGGATAGGAAAGTTAGGTCATCTGAGAAGAAAATTGAAAGTATTTGAGCAGATTTTGAGAACCAGGAGGTACTCTGAACCCGTTTCTTTTCGATATAGTACTTGTTATTAGTCTATATTCTCAATTTCACAGTGTTGAGATCTGAGCTGTCCTGGGTTTCTCGTTCCATCAAGTTTAAATGCAGTGACGTGGATCTTCAACGTTAAGGAATTCACAATAAATAACAAATACCGTCATGTAGCATCCACACTGAATAACTAATTACCTCACATACCATACATCTGATTGAACACTTCACCAATTATCACTTCTTATACAAATTCACTAATTCGAAAAGCTTAAACAAGTATATGAATTTATTCATGCGTCTAAGCTTTTTATACTCCTGTTTAACGATTTTCGACCTTCACTTTACTCTATAAACTTTCAAAATTCCTACTATCCAATCAATATTCATTCAAAAACTAATCACAATTCTAAACTTAACCGATTCGATTAAGTGTAGCGAACAGAGCACGGGTGAGGGACAATCAATGTATTTTAGTGCAAAATTACAGAATATTTCAGTAAAATATGAGAAGTATATAGTACATAAAGAAGAAAAGATGGATAGTGATTAGCAGTGGAATCCAGGACGCGCGTTTCGTCCTATTTGGGACTCGTCACCTGGATGTACCTGCATCTCAGAGTTGATGTTCATTCTGGGACTCGAACCCAGTACCTTTTTGTTTCAAACGACATCGCGTTATCCACTCGGCCACTGAGTCCTGATAGACAATTGCTTGTACAATGGGATGAAGTTTAAATCCACTTGGTATTGTTTGTTTGAATCTTCCCATTGATGTTTAGGACTGCAATTGATCAGTCTCTTATTACAGTAATTAGTTAATTTGCAAACTATCAATCAACTGATTCAATCTTGACCGTTCCTTCTGTAAATATCAGTTCATCGTCTCCGATTATTATTTTTATTGTTCATGCAATTTAATATCAATTGCGCTTCGTTCCCATTCTTTCCTTATCGATCTTCTACTGAAATACATTCAATGCCGGATCATCGTTATATACTACTTATGTGGATATAAGTAACCCACATCACAATTTAGAAATAAATCAACTTTTACCATTTAAATTTAAATTTCATCAGATTAAAATGTTTGTTTTACTGATTGCTCAATGTAGAATGAATGAATTCATATCACTTATTGATCAACGTTATAAATAAAAGAGGTTTATCGAATTCTGACTTGTCCCTTTAAAAGTTAATGTGGTCAACAAACGAGACAGGAATGTTTATTGTTCAATTTCTAGCAGATACGTGGATGTACACTGCCGATGATTTGCTGTTTCCCAGTTTATAATAACTATTTAACTATAATACAATTTATTATACAGCTTTTCATAATAGTTCAAACAAATTCATTGATAGCATTCTAGTTAACTGAATGTGTATTTAGCCATGTATTGATTGAAGTTGGTTATATTCATTACGAAGACAACAAATGTAGCAGCAGCCTCTGCATCAATAGGCCTCAACATTCACAAGGGAGAAAGCAAGATTTTCAAATACAACAAGGAGAACACCAACCCAATCACACTTGATGGCGAAACTCTGGAAGACGTGGAAACATTCTCGTACCTTAGGAAGCATCGTTGATAAACAAAGAGGATCGGATGCAGATGTAAAGGCCAGGATTGACAAAACGAAGACAGCATTCCTACAATTGAAGAACATATGGAACTCAAAACAACCGTCAACTAATTTCAGAGTGAGAATATTCAATATAGACATCAAGACAGTCCTACTGTACGGAGATGAAATGTGGAGAACTACTACATTCATCGTCAAGATGGTATAAGTACTTATGAACAGTTGTTTACGCAAACTACTCAACATTCACTGGCCGGATACTATCAGAAACAGCGTTTTATGAGAGAGGACAAACCAGCTTCCATCTGAAGAAGAAATTAGGAAAAGACGTTTGAAGTGGATCGGACATAAATTGAGGAAATCACCAATGTGCATCACGAGGCAATCCCTCACTTGGAATCCGTAAGGAAAGCGGGAAAAAGGAAAGCCAAAGAACATATTACGGCGGGAAATGGAAACAGATATGAAAAGAATGAATAACTACTGGAAAAAACTGGAAAGGATTACCAAGGACAAGGTTGGATGGAGAATGCTGGTGAGCGGCCTATGCTCCTCGGCGAGGGGTAACAAGCGTAAGTAAGTAATATTCATTACGGTAACAGATCATCTTCTCCACTCCATTAATAATTGGACTCATAACATTCAAGCTTCATGACCAATTCCTTATCATTTAGACCACTAATTTGGAATAGTTCAATGTTTCTATGCTTCATCTGAGTCAGTTATTAACAGATTTCAACCTTAATCAATTTTTGCTTTGTTTTTTTTTTACAGCCTGTCTTTGAACATCCATTTATTCAACAACCAGATAATTTTCCTAAAGAAAAATTAAAAATTCTTATATGGGAAGAAATTCAACGATATCGTAGTAATAAAACTATCAATGATATAGTTTATATTAATAATAATAATAGACAAGTTGAACATATGGATGATCAATCAGGTAAGTTTTAAAGTGATGTAGTTTTAAATAAATAAAGATGGATAATGACTAGGAGTGGAAACCAGTTTGATGCGCGTTTTGTCTTATTTAAACTTCAACTCATTGCATAAGCAAATGGCTATCAGGATTCAGTCAGTCAGTCATCTACAACGTAGGACCAGCACATTTATGCATCAGTCCAAATTGCCATACCTCACTCATTAGAACAACAAGATGAACACCGAATTCATAGAAGTAGTTAATTTTAGTGGTGGTAATATATAAAAGATTGTTTGTAAGGATATAGTATAGGAAGGAAGACATATATGAAGCGATTTTAATCTTAAGGTTTAAGGGAAGATAAAGAGTGTATACACCTACGCCATTGTGATCGATTCTGAACCATGTCACCTACAGTCTCAAACCATTGGTTATGATAGTCTCGCGGACCCAAACTAAGTGGTCTGAATCTGCCAACATGGCTCAGACTAGAAGTTAGTGACTTCAAGCACTGATGCCATGTTTTGGTTTGGCCGCCCCTAACTCTCTTCCAAGCGTCCCGAATACTAGTCAGCATTGCTCGTCGTGGTAACCGGCGTTCGGGCATACGTAACACATGGCCCAACCGTCTCAGTCGATGAAGATTTACAACCTCATTAACTGATTTACCATCATTCCCTAATACCCTGTGTCTAACCTTACTATTACTTACCCGGTGATCCCAGAAGATGCGAGTAATATTTCTAAGACTTCTGTGGTCAATTACTAGTAACTTACGAGTATCTTCTACTCTTAATGGTCATATTTTACAGCCGTAAAGTAGAACAGAGAGAACTGCTGCTCAATATACTTTCCCCTTAATTGATAGACGGATTCAGTAGCTAAGTGGATAATGCTATGCCGTTTGAAATGAATAGTACTGGGTTCGAGTCTTCAGGTGAACATCAACTGTGAAATGCAAGTACATCTGTCTGACGAGTTCCAAATAGAACTGAGACGTGCATCAAACTGGATTCCACTACTAGTCACTATTCATCTTTGCTTAGAATGCTTGTGAATTAAGGTAATATTGAGGCAATATTCATAGTATGCACATATGCCAATAAGCGGCTGACCAATTGCAGTGTTAAACATCAATGGGAAGATCCAAGTAAACAATAACAAGTGAATTTAGATTATTTTTATTCGAAGATGTTGTGATATGTTCTACAGACTATCAGTATTCTAATCATCATATTGAGTTAATTAAGAACTGAATAGCTTTATTAGTAATCTTTTCGATTTTAATAATTTGTATAACTCGTTATAATGTCTGTGGAATTATTGATTCATTTGAGATTGGCAGTAGTAAAGCTGTGAATTAGTAGGATTTAGAGCATTCAAATTTTAGACAGCTGATCCTGATAGTGGCTATCAGGACTTAGTAGCTAAGTGGATGGCGTTTGAGACATACGGTATTGGATTCGAGTCCAGGAGTGGACATCAACCCTGGGATCTAGGCACATCCGTCTGACCAGTCCGAAATAAGACAAAATGCGGTTCCTTGATTTCACTACTAACCACCATCCATCTTTGGATACAATATTCTAGATAACGGGTTTCATGCTCTCTTCCAAATGATTCGATTAAATAAATCCCTAGAATTTACGACTAGAAATTGTTAATAAGAAGGGATTCTCTTGAAAAGATATTAAAAGTGAACGCAGTCAACGATAAGTCCTATAATATTAGTAAAGATTAAATCCGATAAGATACTTATGCTGTCAAATACCATTACCTCGAATAATTATTTTACTTAGAGAGGTGTTTAGTTTTCTTTGAAGTGATTTTTGCCTATTCTACAATTAGCACCTCAATGTAGTACACTTGATATTATATCATGTAGACTAGTGACCAATACTGGAATCTGGTCAGTAGAATTTGACCAACACTAAAGAACTAAACAAACAAGACTTTGGTTCCTACTCAGTTGTCAATCAATTGTAAATATTTCAATCCAAGAAGAAGTTTACTGGAGACCCGAATAGCTTACTGATGACGTATCAAATTATGAAACCAGGTGATAGGGAATCGAATCCACCAGAGTACATCAGTTGCCTTGAGATTACATATACACCTTACTTACAAGTATCAGGTAGCGAGAAACCTAGGCCCAGAGTTTCCTTTTAAAAACCTTCAACCATAGAACACGATATTAGGGACTGTTATTATTGAGGCAATAATACAAATGCCTGGCGAGACTATAATTTATGGATGACCGTTAAACTAATCTTAAGAATAGCCTTGAACGATTTCAGCCGATCAGAAAACCTTTTACGTAGAGTAAGAATTTACGATTCAAAACCAAAAGTTAGAGTGGATATACTACTTTAACATAGTTTAAAAACTTGTCCAGGTTAGACAGAGGTTCTGCCGTTCTGAAATCTTAATGCACATGATACAGGAACTCATCCATGTGGCCCCAAAAATGGTCGACTATTGGAGCTGTGATTAGGTCGCAGAAGTTCTTTTAGCCTCGACTACATTGCTTCTATATTGTTGGCGTTATGTTTAATGGTCCGTCAAATATCACATAAAACACTTCCAATCAGAACACCAACGTATATAACTTTGGTCCTGTTCCAAGGCTTTCCCACCAAACGAGTGATTCCAAATCATAATCCTTATTTTTCATATATCTCTACAGTATTCTTACCACTGGACTGTTGAAACTTCAGTAACATCTGCAAAGTTTTCAGCCAGTGCTACTAGTGATTTTATTGTTCAGTTTACAACAATTAGCATAAGTTTTCTTTGTGCCAGTCTGAATGGAGTAGATGTCTCTGTCCTTTCAGACTTCTTCCTCCAACTCATAATATATCGAAATACCACATCATCATGATAGTCTGCACACTGTTCAGTAGTTATTTAAACAACGTAATCAAATAAAGGGACTTCTCGGTAATCACATCTGTTGTAACCGCCTAACTATAACGTCGTCGTTGAAATCCGCTGTAAACTGTTCGTACGTGTCCATCGGGTACTGAAACAGGCGTCCATGACCTTGAAATCATTAACTCGATCCTGATCACCTCGTCCATAAATTCTGTTCTCTTCGCAACGCCTCAACTAACTGCCTTGAAACGTGAACTCTATTGGTCTATGAGGCATTTCACTTTTACAAGCCCTAATCTGACTTCAAAATTTACGTGATTGAATACATGAGTTTTACAGGACTTCAATGGTTCATCATTACGAAACAACAATACATGCCAAACTAAGACATTCCAGTTGAAGAATCGGAACAATATGATAAGTCTTGCTAATTGAGCGCTATACACGGATCCTAAGCTATTCTCGTAACCCACAAGCTAAATCTACACAGCAACTTGAACTCGAAAGAAAAGGCACGAAATATGCGAGAAGCCCTTAACTCCAAAGGTTCATTTATGTACAGAAAATATTGGGTTTTTATAGTATTTTAGAAGTCCTTGGGTCTTCCCGAAAATTCTGAAATGCTACTAAACCTAGTAGCAGTGTAGTAATCAGCCAATTAGGAATTCTACATGTGACTTTTCATTTTCGCACTGTTTCTGACAAAACTTCTAATGAACACTGATCGGATAAAATACTTCTTAATGTCTCCTGAGGCTTTCTTGTCTATTGCGAGAGATTTTCTGGATCGCCCCAACATAATACACATGTAATTAATTTACAATAATTTACGAACAGATGTTAGTGATCTAATCATAAGACCTAAATATTAGTCAACATACGTTACGGTAAAGTTTGTCATGCTGTTTATATCGTCTCATTCAAATTCATTTCTATTATTGTATTAATCAGTTAGTTTTCCTGTTCCTAATTTCATATTCAAAAACTGAGTCAAGACAGTCCAAGATCTTTTGACTGTTATCATATTAACATCTTACAGAGTAAACTGCATGCAAAAAAGGACTCTCGTATCTTTGTTATTTCAATATTTTCGACTTCAGTTATAACTATATAATATACCCTTGTGGGCCAGAATAATTTTGCATTGGTTTTCAGGAGAACCAGACACCATTCAGACTTTCACATGACAACCCAAACAGTGCAGCTCCATCCCGTTTAACAAGAGAGCCAGACACCACCCTCTCGCTGAATCCGAGAAGTACAGCTCGGTCTCTTTTCGCAGGAGAACCAGACACTGCTCAGGCTCAACCCGAGCAGTACAGTTCAAGCCGCTCCACAGGAGAAACAGACACTATATGAACTTCAACGCTACAATCTGAACAATACAGCTCAATCCTATGGCGCAACCACACAGGTACCAAGCACCCTGGTGGACCATGTGCACCATTCATATACACATTCACAACACATGCATAATTGTTCAGATCAGTGATAGCGTAAATCAATTATGCACAGCATGAACACGTCAAATTTGACCTATTCCGCTTACACGACAGTCAAACACATCACCGTTATCAATGACGACATGCCCTACAATGTTCCAATGACAATGGCCCTTAAGAACACTAGAAAGCAACCACCAATATGAATGAAATCGATTAACCATCAAACCAATTTCGCACATGAACAGCCAGTAAAACTTGTCAAAGTAATACCGAACCATTCACAATGTCAATGACGAACCTCTAGTCTCACATAAGACCTTCAGCTCTACATGGCAATATAGCTTATACTGCATACAACACATAGATAGAGTAGTAAGCGAAACATCCAAACCTGAAGCATTAGAGCATAAAGAACGCTTAAAACCCATTGTCTGGTGTTGGAATACTAATACTACTCGTTATCTTTTTGTGTATCAGGTTTCATGACTCTTTTAGTGACCTATTCAGAAGTTCATCTAGAAATGGATAGTTTAACTCTTGTCTCGATTAACTGATTATCTATTGAAGTCAGTAAAATCTTGTTATATATTTTTATATGTAAAATGAATATCACTACTTATAATCTTTCTTTGATTTGATTCCATTATTTAGACAAGTTAGTCTCAGAAGGAACAATGGCACCAGGAATTGTACCAATCAGTCAGTAACAACCTTAAGAAACAATCTATGATCTCAGTTGAAATCTCAAGCATAATCTTTCTAATACATCAATAGACTATCCATAAAGTGTTCCCTATCAATCACTCAATAGATTCAAACAATCCTATTATGAATAATTTACCTAAATTATCCAGCTTTTCATGACCAGTTATATATGTGTATACGTTTCAATCTATCAGCTGTGTATGTTTTTTTCTTTTTTATTTTGCTTAGAATAATTTCATCAATATTTTTCTTTTCATATTATGAATTCTGTCAAGATTCCCTTTTTTTAGTCTCCAAGCATATTATCTATACATTTTTGTCTAAAAAAAAACTGCTTACATTGTAAATGATTTACTATTTATTATTGAATACTACTTATTTAAAACATTAATACACTACTTATTACGATGAATAAATATCATTTATTTATTTTTCGAGAGAGAGAGTGTGTGTATGAGGGAGAGGTATTTAAGTTTGAACTATAGTCACTATAGTCACTTAGTGTTTCGACGATGACTTCAACATGACTCTTACATTTATTGATTGTGAATAAAAATCTGTTACTGATGATGTAATAATGTTAACGGTTACGAAACTGTTTAATATAAAAATCTAACTAAATCAGTCGTGGATCAGTTGAAGTTAGACATTAACACCGTTGGATGCCAGCTCAGTGGTCTATTGGTTAAGGACTTATGCTTGAAACTGGTAGGTCCTGGGTTCGAATCTTGCGAGAGCGGGTTCTTGGATGCGCACTGCTGAGGAGTCCCGTAATAGGACGAAACGGCCGTCCAGTGCTTTCAGGTTTTCGATGGTTATCTAGCTGCAATTGACTCATGATTTCAACTTTGATAAATCATCTGTTGTTGTATACAGTTGTATACCCTTCTATAAGCCTATATGATTGATTGAAGAGACTCTTGCGAGAAAAATGTGTAAATTATAGTTTTTTATGTAAAGATATTGACCATTATGATTATTATTCTCTCGTTTGTTTATTTATTATTTTTGCATTATATTTTATACTACTTATTTATAGTCAATAGTTTTAAAAATGCACATAATGTTATATGATAAAGAAAGGAATACTTGTCATCTTAGTTATGACTGCCTACTATGAATATATATTCATTAAAGGATTGATCAACATGTATGTATTGTTATGTAATATGTGAATGTCATGTAGGATTTAACTGCTTACAAGTAAATCTTAGTTATCTTTTCTTCCTATAAATGAAATATCACCATTTTTAATGAATTATTTGGTGAGACTATACTTTATGGACGACCTTTGATAGATGCTGAAGTGATCTTGAAGATGTTCATCTACTTGCTAGAGTTATAATTTACAATTGATGGTTAGTGTTAGGAATTCGATTTTGGATGTTCATCACAAACTGAAATCAGCATAAGAAAAAAAGGGTAACAAAACACTATATACACAAATAGGTGAATGAAGTTGGCGCTAAAATCCCAGACCTATTATCCTTAAACCTGATTGATTCTTCCATAAATTGTAGCCTTGTGATGTGATCTACTTATATCCATATAAGCAGTATAAAGTGATGGTGAGACATAGAATGTATTTTTGCAAAAGATCGATAAGGTAAGAACAGGAATGAAGCGCAATCGGTATGAAAATGCATAAATAATGAAATCAGGGAAAATGGACTGATATTTACAGAAGGAACAGTTAAGATTAAGACAATTGATTGATAGTTTACAAATTACCTGTTAACTGTATGGTTATCAGATTTCAGTGAGATAGTCTGTAATTTGGGTTTGAATACAATCGATTGTCCCTGCTCGTGTTTTTTTCCCTATAGTCTCACCTATTGTTCCTTGATCAGTTCTTCTCTGATATCTTATAATTATTGATTTTAAATTAAACTGTCTATGTAAAAATCATTGATAGAATTATTAAAAATATTAGTTGTCCATTCATCCATATTGTCTCTTTGTTCATTTACATATATGCTTAAGATTGTGTAAAAGTAATATATGTAATCTACTTGTAAAGATGACCAGGACGCACTGCTCAGTTCTATTTGTGACTCATCAGCTAGATGTATTTGCATTTCACAATTGAAGTTCATTCTGGGACTCGAACCCAGTGCCGTCCACCTCAAACGCCCTTAAGTTATACACTTAGCTATTGAGTCCTGATAGTCACTTGCTTGTGCAATGGGGTGAAGTTTAACTTCCTTGGTATTGTTTACTTGAATCTTCCCATTGATGTTTAGGACTTCAATTGATCAACTAAGTGGATAATACGATGGCATTTGAAGCGAAAAGTACTGAGTTCGAGTCTCAAAATGAACATCAACTCTGAAATGCAAGTACATCTAGCTAACGAGTCTCAAATAGAACTGAAACGCGCGTCAAACTAGATTCCACTACTAATCAGTATCCATCTTTGTTTATAAGTCTTAGGAATATTTTTTACTGGACCGATCTTCAAGATAAATGATTACAAATTACATAGAGAAAAATTGTAACACTTGTCATTAAAAACTTTGTGAGATATGGCGGCTAAAGTGAAGATTATGAGAGTAATGCATACAAATTGAAAAGTGAAAAATCGGTTAGCGCGAAATTAATTCACAAGTACACAAATAAACAATCTGTTTATAAGATTATTGCTACTTATGAAATACTAGTCGGTGATACTAAATTTTATGCTCGAGACTGGTAGGCTCTGGGTTTGAATCTCGCGAGTCCAAGTCAACAGCACGTATCATCTGCCCCGTCTAATGACGAGACTTCCGTCTCACGTCCAGACCAGCAGACCACACCGCCCTTGACTGTGGATGAGATTGCAGGCTCACGAGATTACCGTCTCACGTTCCGGTCGCCGAGTACACCTACCCATACGCTTTCGCGACTAACCTCATAAACAACAGCGGATACAGTATAGGACCTTACCACTATACTACACGAATGCTACACTTTTCTCTCATTTTTTTGTTGTTTACCCCGAGCCTACGCCTCCGACCATCGCTGTTACGGTATCGTCTACTTCAGTCAACTTTGGCGAAAGCTGGCCTGATCACCCACGCTCTAGTCAACGCACTCAGTCGACCTCTTTGCCTCCAAATACGTATGGTATACATTTGGTCCCGAACATGGTTATCCTGGTCGCATCTGGTTCCTTGGCTCAATCTGGTTTCGTCCTACGTCTGCAGCGTTTCTGGTCCGGACCTCTACGAACGCAACCTTCAGATTCTGGATACAAACCACTCTGGTGTAGCATGCTATACCAAGCAATCAATACAGTACGTTCCTTCTGGTACCGTTCTACGTCAAAGAATTCTGGTGGCGACTCGAGGATCAACGATCACTCCCTGTTCTGCCAACGCCTTCGTCCTACAATTGCACGTTTCGCGATCAGTCCCACGAACGAAACCGCTACGTGTCGAAAGTGTAAACCCTTTCTAGCGGGGAGCTCCTGTAGTGACCGGCCAGTCTCGATAAGAACACGATTGGAACAACGGAAACAATTATTATTATTGTAACCAATTGTACCAGAGATTGTTTTACTGTATCAGTTTCACTTCTGCTTTCGCTCTCCGCCTTGTTTGGTTCGAACTTGCTCACGCACTGCCTGTTCGCCTGTACTCTTTGGCACGTCTCGGTATTATTTCGATACCACGAGATCGCCAATAAATACAATTTGATCCACTACAAACTATTGTCTATTTATTTTCCAAATGTTCGGACATGGCATTAATGTTTCCTGTTTCAGATTTATTTCAACAAACTAACTACATCCATTAAAAGCATTACTTACTCACTCACTTTCACAAAATGCTTAAAACACATTACGATTCTGATTTCTCCAAAACTCAAGTAAAAGCTTCTCGATGTTTGACATAAACTAAAATGCATGAATGTTATGCTCAATGTGAATGTTTGCAATATCTTAACTAATATGTAATAAGGATAAGATGCGGCCCGAAAATCTTACAGCGGATTATGAATGTGAGACAATCTCTAGTGTAGAAAACTTTGTAAATTCTCAAGAAAAAGATACATGTCAACAAGAAGTTTTATGTAAAACGTAACTCTTCTGTATTACGAGTAACAGTGTATGAAATAAGACTATCATAGTTAGAATATTTAAAACTTATGTACACTACTAATAAGTAGCTGCTTCTCCATAAAGATAATCAGCGAGACGATAGAGACATCAAGTTTGTAAATGGACAAATGAACCAGAAAGGGAAGTTGGAGTAATCGATTATGATTTTTTAAAAAGAACCAATCATCATACTTAGCATTTGATTAGATTTCAACTGCTTATCGAATTCTATAGCACGCTCAAATAAACTTATAGCATGAATACAACGAAAGATTTTTATTGAGATCATGAACCAATGAAGGTTAGACGTCCATTGAAAACCTAAAGGCACTGGACAGCCTTTACAATCTAGTATGGGACTCATCAACAATCTACATCCCCGGCTCTGATAGCGGAGTTCGAACCCAGGACCAGCACCCATCCTCAATCTCTAGACAACCGTAGCCGGAACCCAGTGGTGAACTAGTCTAACTTCAGCCAATCCACGATATTGTTGCCGAGACTGAAGATTCTCAGTCCAGTTTCCGAGGTTATTATTAAATTATTATTCATGCTATAACCTGACTATTGATATGAACGCGCAAGTATACGTTATTAGGTCGCTTAGCTCAAAGACAACCAAGCTAAAAGAACGCACTTGAGCCACAAGCCTTTTCCACCATATAATTTAACATTTAGTAGTGATTAACAACAACACGGTGGACACGATTTGTTTTATATAATGGTTAGTAACACAAACTCACGAGCATGAAACCAAGTTGGTGAAATAGTGGTCTGAACTGCGTCAGGTATACTGGTTAGCTTAGTTCTTTCACATAATGTACAGCATATCCAGATTCTTGTGACGCGTGGTATAAAAATACTTCGTACACTACTACAACATATTCACGTGATTGATTCCCTGTAGAGAATATTTACTGGTAATTGGATTAAATCAGTCTGGTCATATGAAATATCCCTAAGTTGTTTTAAATCTTTAGGCCTCTCTAAACATTAAGATATGCTTCTCTCGAGTCACAAATCAATTAGTAAATCCTTATTTAAATATAATTTAACTATAAGTTCTGTAAAATACGGGTTTTTATCAACTTCGAAGAAGAGTAACGTCTAAGAAGCGAGCTAAATTTGTACTTCCAATTTGATGTAACAACCAGTTGGAAGCATCGGGTGGTATGGCTCAAAATCAGTTACAATAGAGCAGATGCATCCACTTCTTCTGGTTCCTTAGATTTTGAGTTTCAAAATTATTTTAAACTTCTCGTCCTGCCCATGGATTTTATGTCGAATCACATTCTGTATTCTTAATCTTTTTTACTACTATTACTACTTCAATAACTTCATTTCGCTGTTGATATCGTGTGGTAATTTAGACAGATGGGAGTCCAAAGTATACTCGCAGTTAGTTATCAGAAACTTTCAGTGATGTCAGATAGTGGATTGCACTGGTACAGTTGGTACCAATATGTTTTTGTTTATCTTAAACAGATTATGATCCCCAAATCTTAACAATTCAGCCACTTTTTCTCTCCTAACTGCAATTCAATGTTAAGCTTTCCATTACTTTAGATGTTACTCTCCATCCTGCCTCATCTTGTTAGTCTTTTCTCTTCATGTGCTGATGAGATGCGGCAACTAGGATCAATGTACACTTATATCAGGTTCTGTTTTATTGATGACTAATACTTAAGCATTCTTAGTGATGACTGAATGTGACTACAACTCATTTCCCAACCGAATTATTGCAATAACGTATTTGTAGTTCCGGCTCAATGATTTAGAAACTTTCTTTTTATCTAGAGTTCAAAGCCGTCTCGTACTCTTTAGTCTAAGTAGACGTGCAGTATTTCCAGCTCTCGCACAAAAAGAATGGTTTGAAATCGAGTAAACGAACCTACACTTGGCTAAAGTATTGCATTCTTCCTCCTTGAAACAATTAGTGAGGTGAATTGAGAACAGACTGCGCTCTGAGATTTATTATTTGGTAATATGTGAATATATATCAACATTCTCAAGGCGATATAATCATCAGATACTGTTATGAAAGTACCTAGTCAAATCCGAAAATGGTAAAGACAGTAAAGATATATGAATCAACATTTTAATAAGGAAAGAACAACTCTTTCAGCAACCTCTGGAGTTTTAGGCGATTCTTTGAATTGAATGTTCTTAATATTACTACCATCACAATCATATGCCACATTAGTAAATGAGGATATAATTGAGTGGAGTATTAATGAGAGGAAAGTAATTAGGCAGATTACAATTAATAATTAGCTTTTGTCTCAAGAATGGTGGAAAATTAACTATTTTCATTGGAAAGGTTGGGTAAACAGATTGCCTTAGTGTTTCCAGTATGAAGTTTCAAATTAGATCAAGTAGGCTTAAACCAAGTATGTAAATACTGAAAACTGAGATTCTTTATTTTTTCAGTATTTTATTTTCCCCTAACATAAAAATATTATTATTATTTAGTGCAGTCCGAAATTTTACACCGATACTCGACATTAATAACACAAAATTTTCATATACTAAGGATAACCAGGACTTTGTCACACGTACTTGTGGAATCTTAAGCTCAAAATATTGCTATCACATGATTGTGACATGGTGATTCAGCGTTCATTCATAATTCTTAAACACCTGATTAGGTATTGAGATTACCGAAAGTTTTTGACAGGATTGTTAATTGAAATGAATGATGGCCGAATTACACAAGTTTACAAAGTTTCCCAAACATTTCGCTGGTATTTTGGAGAGGATAAAATTGCACTATGAGTAAAGTCAAGTTATGATTACTGGCAAACGGAATATTGAGAAGACCAAGGAATACTTAATCGAACCTCATTCATAAGCATTATGGTGTGGTGAATAGATTGGATTAAAAAGTTACAGGTTAGTACGTATTCACTGGATAGTAAGCAGTTTTATGGACAAGATGCATCAAATTCGGATTTGTATTTCTCTATCCACTCTCGAGCAGTAATTTTTTGAGGTAGGACATCGGCCAGAAAATTGTAGCGATCTAACTGACATTGGAGACGAGAAAGATCCTTGTAAGTCAATTCAGATCGATTACCACGGATTGCAGTGGAGACAAGCTCACTTACAAACATTTCCTAAACCTTATAATAAAATAACAGAATATTTACAGTAGCTTTAGATAGACATACAACAGAATCTGATGAAACACAGTCCACGTCAGGAGAACTTTTCATCATAAGGCGAGTCCTGAAAGCCGGAATACGGAGTCCCATAATCTCATCAGTGGTACTATACCGCGGCATTTCAGTATAAAAAACTCGAAGTGTCGTCTGGTACTATATACAAGGCGATTTTGTAGTTAGATACCCAATCGCCGAATACAGCAAGTCACTTTGTGTTCGAAAATTCTAATCTGTAGAAAAGAAGAATAAACGAAATGAGCGGTGAGATTACAACTTACAGACGACCTTTGAGCGATTCTAAAGTGACCTTGAGAATGCCCACCTACTAGGGCTAGATGAAGATTATATACTATTGTGAGGAATTTGGATTATGATTTACAGTTGATGGTTAGGTCTGGACATCAAGTTTACGTTTTTCATCTCGAACTGAGATTAATTAATCTGTCAAAGATGCTAACCTAATAAATGGATGAATTTCGTGCAAAAATTGAAAACCTGTTATTCTAAATCTGACTGAATAGTCCATAAAATATGGTTTCATCGACATTCGACTACACTAATTCTAGTCGGTTTGGTGGCTATTTTCGGGTATTTATTTCCTGCAGTTTGAGTGAGAACGTTTTTCTCAGGGCAGTGTAGATTCTGGATACGAGCAGTTATCACATTACCAGGCAGAAGGTTGGTTGTAATGTGAAGATAATGAGGTGATAATTCAAGTGCTAATAGAAGATGATTGCTCAAAGGAGTAAGCAGATCAGTTAATTGACTGGCAATAGAAAGTGTGAGGAGACTGAAGTGTAGGGATAAGAGTGGAAACGAAGAAAATAATAGAATAGAAAGGAACAAGTTCGTGATATGTGATGATAACAGTAGGTACATTGAGAAATGCATTAAGCAGATGGTCGAAGCTGGAAATGGGAATCCGTAGGTGTGGATGTGTTTGTCCAGTCTCCCCTCGAAGCAATCCAATGAGGGAGCTGTAGTCACTTCGGCCTGCTGAGCAGTCCTAATTGTAGCAACTGTCAATGAGAAAAATTGGGAGCGTGTATGAATTTTCGCTCCCTGATGTGCCGTTTTTCGAAAACTGTCTAGTGGAGTGTTGTGGTGAAGTTCTGGTAGGTTGCCTGTGTTGAGGTCACATGGAGTAATTAATATGCTGTACGCCATTATCAGATCACCTCTTAGTCTCTTATAGTCTAAAGAGAACAAACCCATGACATTCGCATTCAAAGATTTTTCTTCGTATATAAAAGGGCGGATTTGGATTTGTCTTTTACCATAAATTTTCTGTATATATCCAGAGTTCTTTCGGATGAGTACACCATTCAATATCTTTACCATGGGTAATGTAAACTAATCGATTCATCTGCGCTCATTTTTTCGTATCACGGTAAGATTCTGGTTGACTCATGGCATGCAGTAAGTGTAGTTTTACAACTCAATTTTGATCTAGTCTGTTCATGAAGAACGGTGGACTGTCTCACGCATAACATACGATCCAAAAATCAAGTTAACCAAATTCCGGTTGTTGTACCAAAAGCTTGTTAGTAAATTAGAAATAATCAACCCAAATATATTGCTCTAATGATAAGCATAATAAATACAAAACAGTCCCTCAATTTTTAGATTTCCGGAGCAAAAGTTACCAAATACCAGGCCAAAACACAATGAAATTTAGATTTTCAATGACCAAAGCTGCAGACGGACAAGTTCAAAATTTGTGCTTATGATATGTGTTGCAAAAAACAGTTACTGCAGCTGTGAAACGATGTGCTGCTCCTTAAGGCCTCTGATGATATTCAAGGCAACTGAGATGTTAAACAAAGCTATAAAACTATCCATCGATGAACGGCATGATACATATAACATGGATACCTTGTTGTACCTTGAAAATTCTGTTGGCTCCATTATGAGTACTGCCTTATATCTGAGGAAAACCAATCCGACAGACCCCTGAAACGTTGTTTTTACTTCATTGAGAGGACAAAATTATCGTAAAGTACTTGGATCTGAAATCTGTATCCGTGCTGACCTTGATCCGGCCTGCCGAACGAAGAGAAGGTCATCAGAAGCAGAGACAAATAACCCCAGTCGAGAATGTAGGAAAATCCTTAAAATGAGTGATTTTTACATTGTCAGCGTTCGAGGACAATAGGTCCTCAAGCCACTTTTGGTGGCACAGGAAAGTATTTCACAAGCTTAGCAGTTTGTTTTATAGATACTTTCAGACTACCAAACAAAATTACATTGCTTGGAGATATAGTGGGCGCGGAAAACCCCAAAGCGGTTACCCTCTCAAAAAGATGGCTAACGCCTAAATAGGTGGTAGCAAAACTGAAGTGTGTAAGTGCTCGCTCCATAGAATATATAGACTAAATCGTAAGAGGACAGGATAATCTAGTACTTGAAAAACACTTCTACCATACGAGCTGTTGGCATGATGGTACGCGACCGAGAGATATGCAAGATGGTATCGTGTTGACTGAAGTTTACAGAGAATGACACTAAACAAGTGACATTGTAAAGTAGTCCTGAAAGTATAACGGCTGATTTCTTCTGAATTAAACCACAATCCTCGCCAAGCAGGTGTACCAATCTTACTATACGTCATCTTAATGAAACGCCTTTATACTGGGCAAACTTGAAAATAGGGCAATCAAAAAACTTGTTTGACCACGAACCCTTATCGCACTGACTTTATTTCAACATATCCGTCCCACCGTACATGACCTGTGGGACTCACCTTCTGTCCTTGGCTTAGACTTCACTCATAGTGTTAATAATAGTCACCTTAAGTAGGTTCCAACGATAAGGAGAAATGTCCGGGTAGTCATCACATTCACGTCCGTTGCTGCTATGTTCTATAAATCAGGCGCCCCGCCCCATCTGAACATATGGAAGGGAGTTATTCAGAATTCTAACTCTATGGCTCTAGAGGAAGACTAAAAAATTGAATTGGAGTTTTCAGTGTAAGAGATATGGAGTCGCGTCTGGCAGTTATATAAAGAAGTACCTCAGTCGATCAAAACACGTGTGATTGTAGGAAAGATGAAATGGGGAAATTTCCAGACAAAAACGTGAGATTCGACATTTACTGAGACAAAATAAAAAACCCATAACCTTATCAAGAGTCTTGGTACAGCAAATCCGATGGAACAATACAGACCAGTCGACAATAATAATACTTATTTTTAGCACAGAATGCATCTACCAGTTTAGAACGTATTATCGAAATTATGCAAGATGATTTCTGCCTTTACAGTTTAGTCAAGATTATCACACAATTAGATAAGCTAAATCCCCAACAGATCATTTGCAGAGATATAAAATCTGTTTTGTATAAACTTTTAGAAAAAGACCGTAAAACGGGGCCATGGTCATCACAAAGTAACAGAAAGGGGTTAAGCGAAAGAGGTGAACTTGTAGAACGTGTATGTAAGAGACACGGTCAAGGTTTGGGTAGGAGATTCAAAGCTGAGTGCTGTATAGATGTTAAAATAAGGAGAAAGATGACAAAAGCATTGAGACAAATGACTTCAAGTCTCCAACAACTCCTGAATGTTCGTAAAGGAACGAACCAAGACATTTATAGTCATTTGGTAAGATTTGAACTAAAATAGACTGTTCTCAAAGAAACTACAGCAACAATGGACGGTGAGTTGTGCGATATACAAAATGGACAAGTTCAAACTAATGGATGTGAGACTGAAGTATAAAGCAAGATAACCGTTTGTCAGCTTCGAATTAGATGTAAACGAACACAAACTGATTATACGCATAAATAAGTCTACCACTACTTCAATTTTTGACACACCAATATTTGACCACCTACCAACCCTTTAGCTTAAGACTTTGAACTTGCACGTGAGAAATGGTCTTGCCAAAGTGGCGAAATTAACTTAGATTTGTGAACACGAGTTTAAGAACTAGTAAGCATAAGGGAGTATCCATTAGCAACTGTCCCAACTCCAGTCTTAAAGAGCCAGAAACAAGTAAAATATTCTGCACTACAAACATTAGTCGTTTGAAGTCATCGCTCTCACAATCATATTCGCTGGCCATTAAAGCCACCATCCATTATTTTCGATGTTGAGATTTTTTAGGATGGTAGTTTGGTTAAATATTAAAACCTACTATCAGCTTTGCATTGCACCCCTGAGAGAGGAAATTTTCAACAAGTACCACATCATAAGCATACGAGACAGTCAAAGCTTATATACTATATGTTTGACGTCGGTATAATATTGCATATCACAATAGGATAAAGTGTAGGTTTGAAAAGGAGTATAGGCGCTTCAAAAAACAAAAGAATAGACTGGTGATTATCACAGAGTAGCGGTCAGGATAGTGTACGAATGTAGTATTTATAAAAAAGTTAACAAGTGATGTGGCGATTCCAGTGATGTCAGTAAAATGTGCGAAAAAGTAGTTAATCGATAGTAAATAGACAAGAGGAAACTTGTAACTACTTGGGTTGATTGGTTGAGAGTTGGATGCAAACATCTAAATAAATGTCAGACATAATAGCTCAAATATTCATTCACTTCCTTATTTTGTGTAGGGACTATATTTCCTTCTAATTTATATTGAATGTTCAAAAGGTAATCTCCTAGTAAGGTCGCTCAGGGTTCAGCACCAGGACCTTTTATTGACTGATATAGATGATGTTCTTCTGCGAGCGTCCTCTGATTTGTTAATTTTTGCTGATGATGTGAAACTTCGAGGAGATGTTTGTAACCAAGATGATAAGCTGATGTTTCAGAAGGTTCTAACTCAACTCAATAGTTTGCAGATAACAGCGGACTTACTTTTAATACTTGAAAGCGTAAACTAATCCATGTGAGAGATGTTGTAGACGACGCATGCAACGTAGGTAACTCCCATCTATAGGTATCCTAATTTAAAGAAAGTATAGGAGTCATAGCCAATTTGACGGTGGAACTTTCGACTTAATTCTCGAGTGTTTTATTAGACCCCATTTAAAGTATAGAAATATAGTACTCGCTCCTTCACTCCTAAAGGATATATATACACTATCATCTATCCAACGGTGAGTCACGAAATCATTTCGTGGACTCGAATTCAATCTGCAAGAATAGCGTCTCAAACCACTGAATCTCTACCCACTTGAGCTAAGGCGTCTCAGAGGTGATTTCCAAATGACTTATAGTGTTCTAAATACTCCTGACCGCCTCCTCCATAATCACTTATTTAAATCCAGTCCCAAAACAAACGCAAAAGGTAACACTCTAAAATTATGGACACAATATAGAAGAACCACCTGTGGGTACATCTTCAACTCTTTACGATTAGTCAACTTCTGGAATGCACTGTCGTCGTCAGTACAATGGACTTCCCAGGAGTCCTTGAAGAGAAAACTTGACATATATTTCACTATACTTTATTATAATATTCTTCTTATTACTGAAGATACCTTGATTCACACCTGGAGGGATCGGTGATCTCTTGCCACTAGACACGGAAGCACGTAAAGTGAATACATGGGTATCTGGCGTTGAATATTAAATGCTAAGTGAGGGTTATTTGTTTGTTGCGTTGCTGTTGACTGGTTCTCGTGATAGGTACTTGGTAAAAGAAAAATCTCTTCGTAGCACAAGAACCGTTTTAAATGGTATAAGTATAAATTCGCCTCCTTACATAACATCTTATGTACACCATGCATATATTTTTTTTATCAATACCATCATCTCTGTAGGTAGGATTATTACTATAGCTAAGTAGCCAAGGAATATTTTCTGTACGATGAACTAAAGATAGTTCGAATATTTCTGTAGAATTACTTTGCTACAGAACATCTTTATAATAAGTTAAGGCTGTAATTTTGGTTATAAGTTCGAGCCCGAGCAGCTTAGTGTGATATTTTCATATAACAAGTAGTTTTCAGCCTTTGACTGAGGAATTAGGATTTCCAACTTCATAATAAATCTACTGTATGCATCCAGAGAATCCTATTTTCTGGAGGCTAACCAGATCCCAGTACCAATATTCACTGAACGTCATAAAGCTTAGTTTGTTAGATCATTCGGTGAGACTTTATTTACGAACCAACCAGATATACGATTACATGACTTGAATTTTGGCGCGAAATTAATTTATTCATTTGGCTAAATAGAGTTTTGGGATTATAGCTGATGCCAGTTCGTAATGTAAACCCTATATCCAATTCTCACCTCAACCATAAATATTAATCCTAATTCCTCACACTGGTTTGTAACCCTCATTTAACCATGGTATGTATGTGGGAATTCTCAAGGTCCTTTTAGACTTGCTCAAAGGTCTATAAATTATAGTCTCACCGATCATTCAAATGTTCTGCATAAGAGTTAGTGCACTAAACACCCACGTTGTTCGCTAAATGCTGTATTAATTTAGTTGGCCAAACGGTTTTCAGTTTTATTGACTACACTTCAATCAACAACGTACAGTGTCACAGCTATTTGACTAATTATGAGTAATAATTCACTCATTGTCTTCGCTTATAGCTTTGTTGCTTTTTTCTTCATATCCTATCTTTTATAGGGCAGTTTTTTGTCACATGTTTTAAATAACTAACATGAAGTTATGTGAATTCCTCAAATAAAATAGCCTATTTACATTTTGAGAAAAAAAATGATATTCTACCAGAAAATTGGCGGTGAAAGTTATTTCATTGATAGTGTTACACACAACAGTTTTATGTTATTCATCATCTTACGTGAATATATCTGTTCACTAACGATGCCAGATAACTCTGAGGACCAAATACCGTGTAGTAATTCAAAGGATACAATCACTTTGTATATGCTAATGTATGAAATGTTAAAGGTTAGTTGATTTTAATTTTAATAGGCTTTTTTTCAAGGAAAATATTGGTAATCCATTTGACATATTAAAACGCGATTCGCAAGATGTACGTATTCCTGCGTATTTAAAACCATTGATTCGAGGCCGGTAAATATATATGATCATTTTTTTATGGTAAATGTATAATTGATTAGAATTGAAAGACTACGCAATTACTATGAGGCTGTTGCGTACACAAATTTGTCGACATTTAAAAATCTAGTCTTTGCAAAATCATCGAATGTCGGCAATGAAATCGATGACGATGATGATGAAGACAGTGGTGATGGAGGGGGTGATGTTAGTCAAAATAGTAATAGAAGAAGATTCCTTTTGACTAAAGACAGCGTTTTCGGTAAGTTTGTTAAATGTCAAATATTAAGTAGTGATTGATTCATATTAGAGCTTGCATATCATCATTTACATTAAAGTTATGGTAGTAATCAAGAAAAACTAATTTTGTTGTTTGTTGTATCTATAAGGTGACAATAACTGATACGAGAAACCATCCCGGTCGTAGCTACTACCTCGACGTGGTGGTCGGACTTGCCTGTCGTTATCACTCAACTGAGCTATATTGGCTGGAACACATGTTCCTTTAGATCCTACCACGCCAGACAGGTCGGTTAGAGAATGTTAAGGGTGAAAGTATCAACTTAAGGTCAGAGGGAGAAGTCATACTGATAACTGTAGAAGGGTGTGACAACAGTAAGGTGTTTCCCTCGGAAAACCAGCATCTGCAGCGATCCTGTTGTTTCACCACGTCGAGGTAGCAACTACGGTCAAGATTTCGACGTCCGACTATAGTTTTATTCCTTGACTTCAAGGCCCTCCCCAACTCTGTTGATCGTAAGGTTCTGTGACAGTGTCTGCCATTGGAAAGCGTATAGAAAGGTACATTAGTGTTGTACGTGCTCTCTACTCGAATACTGCTGATGGAGTCATAGTCTATGGGGAACTTTCATGGGAATTGGTTACTTCAAGTGGCGTTTGTCAGGATTGTCCGCTTTCCCCATTTTTATTTGACTTTTTTTATAGACATTCCTTTAAAGACAAAACTTTCATCACCTGACTTTTGATAGATTGATCTCTCAGGAGGTTCACTTGTTTACTTAAAATACGCAGATGATATAGTTGTGTTTGGTGAAGACGGTAAAATTCAGTCTTCCGATAACCGTAAGTAACAGTGCAAGCATGTCTAGGATCCGTTTCTCTCCACCCAAATGTAAAATTTTACTTCAGGATTTACTCGCGCTATCGCCTGAATTAGTGATAGAAAATGAGGTAGTTGAACGCGTTGACCGCTTCATTTATCTCGTGTATCATCAGCCCTGATGGTTTGGTGTCTGACGGAATCTCGGCACGGATTCAGAAGGCTCTACTGGCTTTTGCCAACCCGTGTCACTTGTGGAGTAGGCGAGATATCCGTCTGCCAAGCAAAAGGAGTTTACTGCTCAGCAGTCCTCTCCGTTCTATCTTATGGATGTGAATCATAGTCATTAAGAATAGAGGATATTTCTCGGTTACTGGTATTCGGTTATATGTGTCTTCAAAGCATTGATCGTGTATTTTGGGACCTCCATTATTCTGGAATTTGGCCTAACATTTTCATCTCTGTTCTAATGGGGTGTAGCAAATTGAACGTACCAGGTACTACGTTTTGACTGAATTACTCAGAGAACTTACCATAAAAAAGATGATAGTTTGTGAAATGAATAATGAAAGAGGATACAGATAACACATTCCATATAACAGCAAAACTGAGGTGGTTTTCATTATTTCAAAGGGATATCTTACTATTTATTTTGGATGTAAAAAGCTACAGTGATATTGCTATTAGTTTTGATTTTGAGTCGTTCACAACAATATTAAGTCAGTGGGTCATTTTAAGAAGTTGTGATAATTCAACACATGCTAGTTTGATACACATATCCCTCACTTCAAAGCTTCATACCATATTGTAACTCTTTTCTGCTTTTTGTTTACGGATTAATACTACTCAGACTGGTTTCTGTGGAAGAGGTTGCGGCATCGTATGTGAAACGTTTATAAAAACCAGGGTTTCTGATCTTATTGAACCCCCAAATGCCCTGGTACGGCCGAGAGTGGGAGAGTCACCAGTGGTGCACATGGGCTCCAGGATCCTGATGTAACAAATGGCGTACGAATCAACCGTTGATCACCGGCTACCATGTGACTGCATCTCCTTACGATGCTCCACTGCCTTGTGGTTCAGACATTCAGGTCAAAGGCTCCGGGTGTGGCCTCTTAAGAAAACCACCTACTTCAGTTTGGGCACTCGGGGAGTATCACAGTCCTTACACAAATCAAATGAGATTTGTGCGGCGCATATATATCTGGTGCCCCCTTGTACCAATATTTATGTTCTCCTTGTATTTGTATTGAATTGGTTCAAATTCACTAGGTTACTATTTCATTTTAGCGTATATCTATTTAACTGCATAACTATATCTGTTCTTCATTAAAAAAATATTAAACTTATGATAATTACTTATTTCTTTCTTTTCTTTATAGGTTTATTTTTAAGAAAATTTTCACTTGGAATTTATTCTCAAAGTTTTGAAAAACTCATACAATTTTTTGATTCATTTTTTAATGCTTATGATAATGAATTATGTTCCAGGTCAAATTCGAATACTGAAGATCTAATTGTACAAAATTTTGCTCATTCATTTATTAGAGATCAATATTTAATATCAACGTAAGTTATATGATTATATTAGGGATTATTTATTGAAACACATGATAATTGGTACAAGGAAGCATCAGATATATATGCACCGCACAAATCTAATTTGATTTGTGTGAGGGCTGTAGTACTGCACGGGTGCCCAAACTGAAGCAGGTGGTTTTCTTAGGAGGACCAAACACGGAGCCTTTAACCTAAAGATCTGATTCACAAGGTAGTGGAGGATCGTGAGGAGATGCAGTCCCATGGTAGCCGGTGACCAACAATTGATTCAAACGCTATTTGTTCCCTCAGGATACTGAAGCCTATGTGCACCATTGGTTTGGAATCAGGGTTTTCCAACTTCTGTAAGGGTTCTCCGTACCTACCAACCCGGTTAAAGAGCTGGACATTCGCTTTTCGTCCTCTCAATTTCGTAAACAGCACCCGCGCCTCGAGAAGGTAGTGAGTAGGACTTCCCTGTCAGAGGCTATATACACGTGGACATGTGAGAGCATTTCAAGAGAGGGAGCGAACTTTTCCCACTCTCGGCTGTACCACGGCATTTGGGGGGACATATTAGGGATTAGGTTTCAAATTGAAACTGTTATAATTAAAATGGTATAGAAATTGTGATCAATTCAATTCTCGAAATGTACATATTATATATAATGTAATAATTGTTGGTAGATAATTTAATATAAAAAAATAAGAAACTGACTGAACGTTGTCAATTTTTGTTAGTTATTACAAAAATCCTGCCAAATGTGTGTTTGACTACAAACAGTTAAGTTTACAAACAGTTGAGAAATGTTCTTCTTTGTAAATACAGTTTTATGTAATAACTTTTTAAAATATGGAGTCGTATCTTTGTGATTAAGGTATTTGGGTTTCAACTAGTTGAACCCAGATTTGAATCTCGCTTCACCTAATCTGTTTTATATAGACGGATAGTATCGCGTTTAAGCCCGACCGTTGCTGCTACCTTGACGTGGTGGTCGGGCTTGCCTATCGTGATGAAGCAATCGAGCTATGCTGGCTGGAACAATCGTTCCTCAAGGTCCTACCATGCCAGACAGGTCGGTTGAAGAGCGGTGAGACTAAAAGCAGCAAACCCAAGGTCCGAAGGCGAAGTCGTACTGTCGACTGTACAGAGGTGTGACGGCAGTAAGGTGTTTCCTTCAGACAACCAGCATGACAGCGATGCTGCCTTCCCACAAGGAGGGGTGGGGTTAGAAAAGGTCGGCCCTAAAAATGCACACCTCGCCTTATCCCACGGATATCCGTCTCCGGCGGTAAGGTTTTTTTTGAAGAACGGAGCTAACACAAAAGCTACCCACAAAAAGGTCGTGTGTGACCGACCTCAAGCAGTTGTCCCTTGGGCACTGCGGTCACGCTCGCAGGTCATTAAGACCACTTCTAACCCAATTTCCTTTTCAGGTACCCCCAGGAGAACCCTTCCACGGTGTGGGCAACCGGGAAGTGATAACTGCCCTCATACCTCTAACAGCACTTAAGACCACCGTATTCATAATCAATCTCCTTCAATTCCTACTATTCCTTCTACCTTGACTTTCAACACTAAACTTCCTGTTCCGGTTTCCTCCTCAAGTGTCACCATGGCCAACGATTCTAGTGCGCGGAACGCTGTCCCAGGTCTACTTAAACCTCGCTCCAAACTACACATTGGAGCCTTCAACGTACGTACCCTATGCCAAATCGGTCAACAGGCCTCCTTAGCTAAAACCCTAGAATCTCGTACCATTGATGTATGCTGTGTCTCCGAAACACGCATACAGGATCCCAGTGTGGTCATTCACTTGACCTCACCTCGCCAAAATGGACAGCCAACGAAATACACCCTCCGTGTATCTGGCGACCCGTTGGCTAGTTCTCGCGGACTTGCAGGTGTAGGCATAGCACTAAGTACAAGGGCAGAACAGGCACTATTAGAATGGATCCTCGTTAACAGTCGCCTGTGTGTTGTCCGGCTGAATGGCTCCGTAAGAACTCGGAAGGATAGGGACACACGTCGTTACCTTTTCGTCGTTTCTGCCTACGCTCCCACCGACTGCAGCCATGATGAAATGAAAGATGACTTTTACAGAAAGCTCTCTGAGCTTCTTCAGAAAGCTAAGCGCTCAGACATAGTAGTCGTAGCGGGTGACTTTAATGCCCAGGTAGGCAGCTTGAATCAAACAGAAAGACATTTAGGTGGGTGTTTTAGTATTCCGGCTCAACGAACCGATAATGATGATCGTCTGTTGCAACTATGCTCAGACAATCGTTTATTTTTAGCAAGCACTAATTTTAAACATAAAGAGAGACATCGTCTAACATGGCGACCACCTGCACCAAACCAACGATGGACTCAAATAGACCATATTGTCATCAGTCATCTTTGGAGAGGCTCAATAGAAGATTGTCGCTCGTATTGGAATACTTGTTTAGACTCTGATCACGCTTTAATACGAGCGCGCATTTGTCTGCGCCTCAATGGACGCAGGAAAAGTACACTAAGAAGACCCATTAGGATTGAACTGGAGGACGAGAAAGCCAAATCCGAATTCCAGAAACAACTGAGTTCACATCTAGGCAGTTCTGTAAACAAGACTGACACAGATGCTGCTTGGAAAGACATACGAACAGCTGTGGAAACAGCAGTTACATCTATTAGTCACTTAAACCATAGGGCTCCAAAAAACCAATGGATTTCTTCTAAGTCTATTTCACTGATGGATTCGCGTAAACTCATCCCATCAGGCTCTGAACATGACGAAGAGCGTAAAGAAATTAGATCTAGGTTAACTAAAAGTCTAAGGAACGATCGTGAGCAGTGGTGGGCAACGAAAGCAAAAGTGATGGAAAAGGCAGTGGCTGTAGGGAACACCAGGCAACTATTCAGACTAATAAAAGAAACCGGAATTAAGAAGTCAAGTGTGAGACAATCTCCGAAAAAGACGGAACCCTTATCTGCTCTCAACCCAAACATTTAGAACGATGGGCGGAACACTTTAAGGAGCAGTTTAGCTGGCCTTCAGCTACTGCACAACTACCCACTATTCCTAGAAAACCTGAATGGAACATTGAAGTAGGCCCCCCGACCCTACTTGAAGTTCAAAAGGCTATAGGTAATCTGAAACGAGGAAGAGCAGCTGGTCCAGATGGATTAGCTCTAGAGGTCTTTAAATATGGTGGTCCGATTTTAGCGATTAGGTTGACTAATATTCTGGCTAAAATCTGGGAGACGGATGTAATCCCATCCGACTGGTCACAATCACTGATTGTCCCAATATATAAAAAGGGGTCAAAATCATCCTGCGATAACCATAGAGGGATTAGTCTGACCAACATAGCATCTAAAATACTAGACTCAATAATTATCGGGCGCCTAACTAAGACTCGTGAACTGCAAACACGAGAAAATCAGGCTGGCTTCAGACCTGGTCGTGGCTGTATCGACCACATATTCACCATTCGTCAAGTTTTAGAGCACAGACACGTTTATCGGCGTCCGACAATGATAGTTTTTCTTGACTTGAAAGCAGCATTTGACTCTGTAGACCGAGAGGTTCTGTGGCAGTGTCTGTCATTGAAAGGTGTACCTGAGAAGTACATAAACCTTGTGAAGGCTCTTTACTCGAACACTACCAGTCGAGTGAGAGCTTATGGCGAACTGTCATATGATTTTACAACCTCAAGTGGTGTCCGTCAAGACTGTCCACTATCCCCATTTTTGTTTAACTTCATTATAGACCTGTTGCTGGAAATAACACTCTCTGCGACTGAATTTACAGGAATTGATCTCCTACCAGGGGGACCACTAAGGGACTTAGAATACGCAGATGACATAGTCCTGTTTGGTGAAGACGCTGACAAAATGCAGAGTCTTCTGTTGGAACTCAGTAATAATGCCAGGATGTTTGGGATGCGATTCTCCCCATCCAAATGTAAATTGTTACTCCAGGACTGGCCTGCATCAACACCTGAACTAAGGATAGGGAGTGAAGTAGTCGAACGCGTTGACAACTCCACTTATCTTGGAAGTCTGATCAGCCCTAATGGGTTGGTGTCTGACGAAATCTCAGCACGGATTCGAAAAGCTCGTTTGGCTTTTGCCAACTTACGTCACCTATGGCGAAGACGAGATATCCGTCTATCAATTAAATGACGAGTATACTGCGCAGCAGTTCGCTCTGTTCTACTTTACGGTTGTGAAACATGGCCATTAGGAGTAGAAGATACTCGTAGGTTACTAGTATTTGACCACAGATGCCTTAGAAATATTGCACGCATCTGCTGGGATCACCGGGTAAGTAATAGTGAGGTTAGACGCAGGGTATTAGGGAACGATGGTAAATCAGTTGATGAGGTGATGAATCTTCATCGACTGAGATGGTTGGGCCATGTGTTACGTATGCCTGAACACCGATTAGTCACTAACTTCTAGTCTGAGCCATGTTGGCAGATACAGACTACCTGGTTGGGGTCCGCGTGACTATCGTAACCAGTGGTTGGAGACTCTAGGTGACATGGCTCAGAATTGATCACAATGGCGTAGGTGTATACACTCTTTATCTTCCTTTAAACCTTGAGACTAAAATTGCTTCATATCTCTCTTCCTTCCTGTACTATATCCTTATATACAACCTATAATTTATATACTACTACCACCAGTAAATTAATTACTTCTATGAATCCGGTGTTCATCTTGTTGTGCTAACGAGGTATGGCAACTTGGGCCGATGCATAAATGTGCCTGGTCCTACGTTGTAGCTGACTGACTGACTGACTGATCGCGTTTAAGGTATGACGTAATACCAAGTGCTTTAATGTATACTTAGCAATTGAGTTACAACATCGTTTGTTTACATAAAAATATCAATTGATGAACACAAATAAATCTAGACCTAACTAATTTTGTTATAAAGAAGTCAGTTTGTTAAAATAAACTGAGATAATTGTCATGCATATTGTCCATTCCGACAAGCTACTTAGTTCAATTTACTAGATTGATTGGAGTGAACCTAATAGGGAGAAAAGAGATTTACAGTAGGCGAATCATAATGAGTTACAAGTTATCGAATGAAATAACTGTTCCTTTGGATATTAGTGATAAATAAATTCAGATAAATGACTACCACTTACAAACCAAAAAAATGAAGTCGGTATAATTTTGGCAACAGTCATAATCGAAAGACTAGACATTGAAAAATGTGTTTTATAAAGAATAGCTGAAGAAACGGAATGTATGATGGAGAATTGAAACTTAAGATCTTGGTGAGAGGTAATGTGTAAATGCATCTGCACCATCGTGATCACGTCACCTTGCGCCCAGTTATCACATGAACATCATGGAGATAGTCTGCTTCTCACACCATTGTTCAGTTTAACGGTCAGTGATTTCATGAACTGACTTTTTGTCTTGATTCAGCCTTCCAATAAGTCTTCCGTAAATCACTTTCATATACATTGTAAAAGAACTTTTCGTAGTTAACATTAGTGGGAAACCGTGACCAGAGGAGTTCAACTATGTAGACTGTCAAGCAGTTACAAGCCACATACATTGAAAGATGGCTGTGTGATATTACGAATCTGTTGAAGTTAAATAGGTAAACTTATGAATAGCGGATCAGTGGTCTGGAGGTTGAGCGTCCACACGCAAGATGAAAGTTCGTGGGCTCGATCTCCTGTGGTGGGGCCATAGATACACACTACTGAGGAGTCCCATACTAGCATGAAATAGTTGTCCAATGCTTCTTGCTTTTTAATAGTCGTTTAACTAAAACCGGTCAGTGGTGTTAACCATGAAATTAAAACAACTCTTCATTAATCTCTTTTATGGTTAGAAAAGAACTTTTGTTAAATTTCAAATTTTGATTTATTAATTTATTCCTAACGAATATTTTTCTGTTTGTTCGAAAAAAAAAACATTCATTCGTATACTTCAGTTGTAATCAGGCTTTAGATGTCTGTTCCGAAATTATTGATTCTATTGGAAAAATTGGTGGACGTCCTAATCTTAATTTACAAAAATACAATGAACTTTTATTGTTAGCTAAAAAAATGTATCCTGAAGTATCATATACGGTAAATGTTTTTTGTTGTTGTTGGTCCTAATTATATCCCGTAGTAGCCGGCGACTAATAGTAGATTCATACGCCATTTGTTCCCTCAGGATTTTGAAGCACATATGCACCATTGGTTTGGAATGAGGGCTTTACAACTCCCCTAGGTGGATCCTCCATATTTATCAACCCGGTTAAAGCGCCAAATATTCGCTTTTCGTTCTCTTAATTTCATAAACAGCACCGCAGTTGCGAGAAGGTAGTGAGTAGGACTCCCCTGGAAGTGGATGTGTAAGCGCGACCATATGAGAGCATTTTGAGAGAAATAGCGAATTCTACCTACACTTGACCATACTAAGGCATTTGGGGACATAATCATAAATAAAAGATAAAAAATTTGTAAAGTTGGTTTTCCCCACAGTTTAAAGGTGTTTTCTTACATTCGTCAATTTAATTTCATCTAATAATCATGGAGGCACGATTCTAAAAATTTCAAATGAGCTTACTAGGTCTGAGATATCAATCACAGGGTTGAGTGTAAAAGATACCTTCAAGTTTATTAAGATGTCATTTGACTCCATTTAGTGCAATCACTATCAGTTTACATCGAAAAACATTACTAAAAGCATGAAGAATGTGCAAAAGCGCTACTCTGCTTATTTGATCTGTAGGGTAAAATGGAATAAAGAGTAGTCATTTGTTTGAAACAATCCATATCTGCCAAGAAACGTAAACAGGTTTTTGAGTGGAAAAACAAGTAAACATTTGACCAATAATTCCATTGTAGATGTGTCGTGATAACTGAGATGATCGAAACGGTGAAAGTCTTCTGATTGTGTTAGAATCTATAACTTTTGTTATTATTTATTTATTTGAACACAAATATTGGTACTAAGGAGCACCGGATACATATGCACCACACGAGTCTCTTGATTTGTGTGTGGACTGTGATACTGCCCAGGTTCCCAGATTGAAGCAGGTCCATAACTTTCTAGAGAAAGACAGTTAACTCAGAAGATAGTCAAGTTTTGTGAAAGGGAACCAGTCGACAGTATAACCTTAAAATCCCATGATTGAGATCAATCGAAATTAGTCAATCAACCTTTGTTGCTGTACTCCTCATTTATTTTGACACCCGTGCCAAAATTGTCACCTGAATAAAGAGGCTTTGAGTTCCGTATATATCTGTACCTAAAGTACAATCACCCCTTATATTAAGAATGTTAGTTTAATTAAAGACCATCTTCTGAGAATCATCGGACCCAAGTACTACAGTTGATTGTATCAATTGTCACCGAGTATTTTCATAACATTTTGGTAAAGTTCTTCATTTTTATTGTTTCTATCTTTCTTTTAAAAACAGCATTATGCCTCACATGTATATGCCTTGCAAAAACGAAATCTTACCATGGCTGAGAACGAATTACATGCATACTTTGAAACATGTATGGCATCAGTGCAAAATCCAGAAATGTCATTAACAACATCAACATTTCCTGCGGCTGGCACAGCATCGACGACTACTACAACAACAGCAGGACCAGGAACAAGCGCATCGTCAGTACTAACTCCATCTATCAATTCTAGTAATACCTGTGCTCATATGGCAGTGACTGGTGCTGCAATGCATTTAAATTTTGGTCATTGGTAAGTCAATTTTTTTCCCTACCACTTAGTTGTTTTACTTTTTATGCATAGTAACTGTGTTAAGATCATTTGCCAATACTAATTTATTTCGATCAATGCAACTAAGATTTTACATACACCTTGGTTTCCTTTTCGTATCAACTTCATCTGTCAAAGTTTAAGCACCCAGTGATATCAATAAAACTAAGAGCCGTATACACTAACGGAATCTTAACTCCATGGAGTTGCTTCCTATTTAATAAATTTTATGATAAAAAGGAATACTCATGTATGTGTTGTGTTAGGTTGTTGTCCGAGTTAGAAATTGATCTATCCGCTTCCTACATATGCGCTCAATCTGCAAAATCAGTGAGAAAACAAGCAGTGAGTAGAATTATTTATTTATTTATTTATTTATTTAAACACATAAATATTGGTACAAGGAAGCACCAGATACATATGCGCCATACAAATCTCATTCGATTTGTGTGAGGGTTGTGATACTGTCCAGGTGCCCGAACTGAAGCAGGTGAGTAAATAGCTTTTTTTTAACTAACCTAGATTGAAGTATATGAACAAACTGTGTTCTTGGTTAATGATACTCAATGTCAATTCGCTAACTTGCACCACGAATAGACAACGTCGGGGATTTTTACCACTAAAGTTTTTGCTATTGCTGATATTGTCTAAGATGGCAATGGAAATAATTTAACTATTTAACAGATACAATTCCACTGAAACCATTCTCTTGAGCTACAAATCTTCTTCACCCTCTGAAAATTAAAATATAACTACAGAAATCGCTTAAGATAGGCGACTTGTGAAAACTAATTTTATCTTCTTTCAATCAGCTAACATTCATTGATTTAATTATTATCCATTAATATAAGAGAACGATTTAACGATTAAAACTACGGGATCCACAAATAGGAACGAGACTCTGGGTGACATGGCTCAGAATCGATCACAATGGCGTAGGTGTATACACTCTTTATCTTCCCTTAAACCTTCAGATTAAGATTGCTTCATATATGTCTTCCTTCCCATACTATATCCTTATATACAACCTTTCTTTTATATACTACTACCACTAAATTAACTACTTCTATGAATCCGGTGTTGATCTTGTTTTGCTAATGAATGAGGTATGGCAACTTGGACTGATGCATAAATGTGCCTAGTCCTACGTTGTAGTTGACTGACTGACTGACAAATAGGAACCCCATTCACTTTCTTGGATATCAATGCTTGAAATATTTTATTTAGCCATCGAATTAAAAACAAGTGTATGGCCAAACTGAGTCTAGTAATCGGCGTCTGAACAGTGATCTGCTTATGATTTACATATGTTGTTAAATGTTTGTCTTAAATTCAAGATTCATTAATTATATGTTCTCGTTTGTTTACTTCATATAGGTTTGTCTCTTTGTTTATTTATAATTTGCTTTGTTGTTGGGTGAATGTTTACTAGGTATAAAGGAAAATGTTTGATTAAGGAAGCGCTTCAAAAATCGCTAGAAAGTGAATCGAAAGATTCACTTGGTCATGTTAAAGTGAGTGTATTATTGTTATTATTATAATTATAATATCCGGACGAGAATAAATGAATGGTATCCGCTAGTGATTATTTATGGACTAATATTATAGGAATATTCTTATTTTATTACCATTATGTAAATATAATATATGTATACTATTATTATTTAAACACATAAATATTGGTACAAAGGAGCACCAGATATATATGCACCACACAAATCTCATTTGATTTGTGTGACGGCTGTGATACTGCCCGAGTGCCCAAACTGAACTAGGTGGTTTTCTTAGGAGGACCAAACACGGAGCCTTTGACCTGAATGTCTGATCCACAAGACAGTGGAGCATCGTAAGGGGATGCAGTCTCATGGTAGCCAATGACCAACGATTGATTCATATGCCATTTGTTCCTTCAGGATACTGGAGCCAGCCCATGTGCACCATTGGTTTGGAATCATGGTTTTCCAACTCCCCTAAGTGGACTCGCCTTGTCCACCAACCCGGTTAAAGTGCCGGACATTCGCTTTTCGTCCTCTCAATTTCGTAAGCAACACCCTCGCCACTGTGAGAAGGCAGTGAGTAGAACTTCCCTGACTGAGGTTATATACGCGTGGCCATGCGAGAGCATTTCGAGAGGGAGAGCGGAATCTCCCCACTCTCTGTCGTACAGGGCATTTGGGGGCCTATTTTTATGTATATATATATATATATATATATATTCCTTCATTATAAGCTTTTATTTGACCTATTGGTTACTGTTATGTAATTTACTATCCTCAAGTTGTTCTCAATCTATTCGTCACAGGTTCTCACAATCACAGCCACTTTTGGCTTGATCTTGTATAAATGTTATTTTCTATTTAATGGTGTGATGTGATCTGGTTTTGCTTGTATATAAACCCAATATGTCTGAAATATATGATCCGTATCGTAGAGGCTGATATTGGCGTTCTGGACTAAACCGACTGGATTAGAAGAGGGGCTATTATTCTCGGTGGACCAATAAGAACTCTAGGCTGCTCGTATAGTTTTATGCGTCATTAGTTTGGTTATATAAGTCTGTGTCACTGGTTGGCTGTCGTATCACATGATATAATTAATCGAGGATAAGGACATAACAATTCTTCTCCTTTTTCTTCTTCTTCTTCCTCTTATTATTATTATTATTATTATTATTATTATTATTATTATTATTATTATTATTATTAGTAGTAGTAGTAGTAGTAGTAGTAGTAGTAGTAGTATCCTATCAGTGTTTTCACTTAATATTTATTAGTATCACTGGTAATTTTTATTATTTAAAAAGATTTCAATCATTTTATAGTTTTGCATCTATCAAAACCACTATTTAACACAAATAGAAAATCTGTGACATGATTAGATTAAGTCATTAGGTGCTGACATTACAATATTATGACATTATTCTACGAAGTTATAGCCCCCAAATGCCCTGGTACGGCCGAGAGGGGGAAGGTCAGCTCTCCCTCTCGAAATGCTCTCGCATGGCCACGCGTATATAACCTCAGTCAGGGAAGTTCTACTCACTGCCTTCTCACAGTGGCGAGGGTGTTGCTTACGAAATTGAGAGGACGAAAAGCGAATGTCCGGCACTTTAACCGGGTTGGTGGACAAGGCGAGTCCACTTAGGGGAGTTGGAAAACCATGATTCCAAACCAATGGTGCACATGGGCTGGCTCCAGTATCCTGAAGGAACAAATGGCATACGAATCAATCGTTGGTCATTGGCTACCATGAGACTGCATCCCCTTACGATGCTCCACTGCCTTGTGGATCAGACATTCAGGTCAAAGGCTCCGTGTTTGGTCCTCCTAAGAAAACCACCTAGTTCAGTTTGGGCACTCGGGCAGTATCACAGCCGTCACACAAATCAAATGAGATTTGTGTGGCGCATATATATCTGGTGCTCCTTTGTACCAATATTTATGTGTTTAAATAAATAAATGAACTTATAGGCTACTGATGATCTATTTATCTTTGAATTGAAAGTGGATATTTATAGAAGCAAACATTGATAAATATCGAAAATAAATGTAAAAATTATCTTTATTTTTGTATTGGTTACTTGAATCTTCCCATTGATGTTTAAAACTGCAATCGATCCGTCTCTCATTGTCATATGTGCATCCTATGCAGATTGCCTCGATATTGCCTGAAGTCACAAGCATTATAAGCTGTGATGAATTATGGCTAACAGCGGAATCTAGGATTCGCGTTTCGTCCTTCCGGAGGCTTATCAGCTGGAATTACCCGGATCCTGGAGTTTGTGTTCACTTTGGAATCCGAAATCAGTACCTTACACTTCTAACAACTAACGAGTTATCCATTTAGCTACTGAGTTCAAATAGCCACTCACTACTGCAATGGGTATGAATTTAATTTAACTGTTAAGGGTTTTTGAGTAATCACATTATTTTAATGGTTGAATTCATTAGTCGATCTATGCTAGATTACCATTGAAAATCTGTAAGCACTGGACGGCCATCTCGCCCTAGTATGTGAATCCTTAGCGGTGAGCACCCACAACTCCACATGTAGGACTCGAACCCAAGAATGCCAACAACTGGATCACTCAAAACCCCTTACAATTTAAAGTGCAGCTTTAAAGATATGAACAAAAGCCAAAAAATGAGAATTCCACAAGAAATAGATGCAATTACATCACTCCAATGAATTTCAAGCCATATAATGCAAAACCTAACAGATTACTATTATCATATGGATTTCAACTAACAAGTTCTATAGTTTTAAAGGCGTTTCGAACTCCCTAAATAATTGTTTTAGATTTGATAGGATTTATAATGTTGATAGACTTCATGCAGTAAAACATTCTGGGCATTTATAATAAGATTCTACTATCAATAATAATACGGACTATTGACAATGTCTAGCGTAACTGGTGTGCATCCGAGTTCCGGTTTACTTGTTTCCGGTCATGAATAGATAACCGTGCTTGATGAATCTTCTAAAACTTCAGCTTAGTCATGAAATTTATAGATGCATTCTTTTAAGGCTTTCTCAATGAACTGCCAGTAAACATAACTACATATAGTTGCCTTCACACAGTTAATTGCTGGATTACTCGTATTAAACTGCCAAGATTAGAAATCTGAAGTGATTTGGGACTGATAACAACTTCACCAAACATAAAGCAGTTGTCGTAAGTTGACGATGCTGTTTTAATTGTTTCATCCGTTGTGGGTAAAATCGTTACTGAATTCTGGAACATTATTTTAATCGTAGGTTCTAATAACATGGGCAAGACAAGAATGTCTTGTTTTAATGAACGATAGTACGCTATTGACTTCAAAAACCCATCCACATGACCTATTCTGACGGACGAGTGTACTTTAATTCGAACTCAACATGATTGTTTATCTCTGCAGAAAGTTAGTTGTATGAACCAGTTTTCCCCTTTTTCCGAGCCAAAAATGGCTGAAAACTTCGTATAATTGGTTTTAAGAGTAAATTTTTTACTATTCAACATCATGGGGAATATTACAGTTAAGATCATGAGTCAATTGAAGCTAGACCACCATGGAAAACCTGGAAGCACTGGACAGCCGTTTCGTTCTATTATGGGACTCCTCAGCAGTGCGCATCCACGACCCAGCACTCGCGAGATTCGAGCCCAGGACCTACCAGTCTCGAGCCAGAGCCCTTAACCGATAGACCAGTAAGGTAATTCCTGGAGTTCTAGTGAGAAATCGTGGCCAGTGGAGCTAATCCATGTCAGGTAGAGACAGGTATCTACCTCAGTACATTGGAAGTTGGTCGCGCAATTTCGTGGATTGGTTGAGGTTAGACATTAACACCGTTGTATGCCAGCTCAGTGGTCTATCAGTTAAGGGCTCTGGCTCAAGACTTGTAGGTCCTGAGTTCGAATCTCGCGAGTGCGGGGTCGTGGATGCGCACTGCTGAGGAGTCCCATAATAGGACGAAACGGCCTTCCAGTGCTTCCAGGTTTTCCATGGTGGTCTAGCTTCAATTGACTCATGATCTTAACTATAAAATTACTAAATCTCCACAAAAAACCCCATCATGGGGAATATTTCGGACTGCGAATGGAAGTAAGGACCACTGGAAGATTTATAGCGAGTCACAGCACGAATAACTAAATAACAGTTTGTTGTGTTCTTCTTTACGATTGTGAGACGTAGCCCTTAGAAGTAGAGAATACTTGTAGGTTATTGTGTTGAGACTATATTGTGAGAAATGCTGATGTTAGGAGCAGGGTACAAGATAGAGATGGAAAATCGGTTGATGAAGGGTAGTGTATTTTTATTGGTTAAAGTGGTCGATGCATGTGTCACGTGTGCCCAACCACCGCTTTTTTGACACACGATGTTTGCCTGTGTAGGTGTAATTCTGAAGAAGGGTAGGGATGGCTCAACTAAAATATGGCCTTAATCCATAAAGGCATCGATTACTAGACTGACCTGTATTGGTAGGTGCAGATGTCTGCGGTTGGTGTAATCGCAACTGTAGTGAACGAAAATTTGGCGAGAATAACCAACGCATAATTACAGAGTGCCTTCGTAAATATGGAAACTATACATTAAATACATTATTTATATATCTTTTCTCAGTTATCCTTTACTTGCTTTATGATTCTTTCAATTCTGTTATTATTACAATTCCTCTCTGTTTTCCTTCCTGTTCTTTATAATTCAATATTCTACTGGTAAGCATCCCACTTTGGATTGATGTCACACACTACTTAATTCTGTCAGTATAAGTAGCATGCACTACATACCTATCTAACTTGACTGTCGGAGACACTAGGTGACGTAATTAAGTATCGGTCACATTTGCACAAATTCATTCATTTTTTGTCCCCTTAGATATTTAGTTTTAAATTTATCGTGTGTCTTTTATTTCGTGACTTCATTTCAAATTTATCTATCAGAGAATTTCTTTAAATTATCATTAAATCTGATGATTTTGATGAAATGTAGATGGCAGTGGGATTTAAGACGCTCGTTTCATCTTGTCTGGAATATGTCACTAGGATGTACTTGTATCCTAAAGTTAATGTTCTCTCCAGGACTCGAACCTAATACTGTTCGCTTTGAATGTGACAAAACACACATCCTGGTGCACCACTGCTGGTCATACTACTAATATTCTTACAGACAGTGCATGTAATGTGTTGTTTTCATATTTTACATTTACAGTGTGTGATTTTGCATGATAATACTATAAAATTGGTTTACCCCATCTAAGTTTTCGTTCATTACACACATATACATGGTATTATTTCTAATCTAGGTTACACATACTTTATTGAATTCAAGTGCTGATCCATTTCGTTATGATAATGAAGTACCTATGAAACAATCGTTCAAATCAAATGTAAGTTATTTGATTTTTTTCAATGGACTGTAAGTAAAATGATTCAATCACTGTTTAAAAGTTTAATTAAAAGGAAAAGTATTCATTATCTTTCATCCTATCCAACTCAAATACTATTTTACTTAATTGACTCTTTAATTCACAAACATTTCGTGATGGAGTGTTCCTACAGAGTAATTGTAGTCAGAATCAATTGATAAGTCTTGTTAATTGAACGCTATATTCGGACCCTAAGCTAATCTCGTAACCTCCAAGCTAGAACTACAAAGCGACTTGTACACGAGAGAAAAGGCACAAAATATACGAGAAGCACTTCACTCTAAAATTTCATTTATGTACAGATAATATAGGATGTTTATAGTATTTTAAAATTCCTTGGGTTTTCTTGAAAATTGTAGAATGCTACTAAACATAGTAGCAGTGTAGTAATCGACCAATCGGAACATCTACATATGACTGTTCATCATCGCAATATTTCTAGCAAAACTTCTAATCAAACGCTGATTGGATAAAAAAAATGCTTTCTAATGTTTCCTGAATTTGTCATGTTTATTGCAAGACATTTTCAGGATCGCCCCAACATCAATGTTTATAGAACATGACACAAATAAACATCTCTGTCACAGCATGGAATAGTGTAGGTTTCAAAGCAATAGTAGTAGTATCAATGATGGCAAAAAAGACTAAAAATGAAGAATATAATTTGAAAAGAAAAAATAAATCCATGAAGTAAAAAGATTGTCAAATATTATTGAAACTCAGAATGTAAGGGAAATGTAAACAATGTATGAATTCGGGATAACTAAACTTTTGCCCCCAAATGCCCTGGTACGGCCGAGAGTGGGGAGAGTCCGCGCTCCCTCTCCAAATGTTCTCACATGGCCAGCGAATATATAACCTCTGACAGGGAAGTCCTACTCACTGCCTTTTCGTGGCGGGGGTGTTGTTTACGAAATTGATATGACGAAAAGCGAATGTCCGGCGCTTTAACCGGGTTGGTGAACAAGGCGAGTCCACCTAGGGGAGTTGGAAAACCCTCATTCCAAACCAATGGTGCACATGGGCTGGCTCCAGTATCCTGATGTAACAAATGGCGTTTGAATCAATCATTGATCACCGGCTACCATGAGACTGCATCTCCTTACGATGCTCCACTGCCTTGTGGATCAGACCTTTAGGTCAAAGGCTCGGGGTGTGGCTCCCTAAGAAAACTACCTGCTTCAGTTTGAGCACTTGGGCAGTATCACAGCCGTCACACAAATCAAATGAGATTTGTATAGTGCATATGTGTCTGGTGCTTCCTTGTACCAATATTTATGTGTTTAAATAAATAAAAACTAAACTCTCTAACCATTTGTTGTGGTCATTATGTAGACCCTAATTATTCGACAATAACCTACACAAATTAGGACAGCCGTTAATAACTCGATAAGCTGATACCAGATTTTGGTTTGGTCGTTGCCATCTTCCATCCAACTTACTACTGCACTAACCAACATTCATCGTCGAAGTATTTGGTGGTTGGACACATATCCTAGCCACTTTGATCGATGAAGACTTGACATTTTACTAATCTGTTTGTAATTATTTTATAACATTGTACATATTTTTTCAGTATTGATTACTTGGTTATTCCAATATACGCGACTGATGTTTCCAAGATACCTGCGGTCAAATGATAATAAATTAAACATATCCTCTGTCTTCAAAAGATCTTTTTATAGGCATACAGTAAAACGAAATAGACTGATCTGTGCTAATCAGTTCAGTATTATTAACTAGACACACAGAATACTTGCCTAAATCCTACCAACTACTCGACATTTGATCGTCTCTTCCATAAGTAGTCTATTCATCTAACCTTTTAACCACCGGTTTTAGTTAACTAGTATTGAAATAGAACGTTATCATTATGAAAATTTACATCACTTAGTTTGATCAGACAGTTTTAACTAAAATCTGTTTATTCGAGAAGAGTCAGTAAGGTCAAGCAAAGACGAACACAAGTGTCAATCGTTGAAAAATATCTTGACAAATAATATCTGAGCACTCAACTGTTGGTTGACATTGTGTATAGGTAGGTTTAAAATCCATTTCCTACAGAGGCTTGAATACTTAGAAAGCCATTTGAAAGACCCATCTGCAGTTGTTACTAAAATGTTAAAAGATGAGAATTGTCTTTAATTTTATACAGATTATGGATTGCTTTTTTGACTAATACCGATACGTGAATGTATGTAGGGTTACCCAGTTAAGTGATATGAATAAATCAGTCAGATAATTTTTTCACCAAAATAATACTTGATGTTTTTTTGAGACCACACATTGATCTAGGCTAGATAAATACTAAAAACCTGGACGGCTGCTTCATCCAAATATGGGACTCCTCATCAGTGCACACACAGGACTAGAGGTTAAACGTTTGCACGCAAGGCTGAAGGTCTTGAATTGGATTCCTCATGGGTGACATCATAGATGCGCCAAATTATGTAATCCTTTGTGTTAAACTGTATATTTGTAGACCATGATTCCATCTGAAATTCAAATAAACTTTGTCTAATATTGCAGGGACACTTTATCATTGAGTCATTTGCTAGTTTGAATTTACTTCTTCAAGGTCTAAAATATAGTTTGGTCAAGGCTAATAACTAGAAGGAAAGCATAAAATCGTTTATTGTTCAATGATCACTTAGTGTAAAATCCTTAGTGCTACATATTGGAAGATCAATTAAGTAAATAAGAGGGGCTTTAATAATTCAATTGTAAAATCTCTGTGTCATTGGATAACTTGATTCCTACAATAAACACTAGTTCCCTGAAGGTTCCTGATACTCTTTACTGCTGACAGGTATCTTTAATTCCTTAACTTGTTTATTTTCAAAGTTTAAATTTATATTTTGTTATTGTTCATTATAATCTAAATCAAAGGATGTTACATTAACTGAATTTCGTACAAAATTTTGGAGTGCATTAGATACAGGATCAGAACCATATAAGTAAGTTTTATATGATTGATTATTGTTAAAATACAATTTATATGAAAATTTTCTAATTATTGGTAGTAAAATTAGTTATTCCCAGTCAACGCAGTAAGAGAAACCTATTGACCCTTCGGGGAAAGAGAAGAGCCTTCCAAAGAGAGTGTGAGTGGATAATAGAGAAAGCAAAGTGAATGGACTTATTTTGGTTCACTTCACGTTTTTTATGTGTAATTTCAGAAAATTTTCTGAAAACCAAAAGAGCTGATGAGATACAGCGATTTCACAAGTGGATAATGTAGGATTTTCTCCTAATTATGTTCTATATGAATATATTCAAATGCGCATATCAGAGATACGTACATCCTGCTGATAAACATAGGCATAGATGAGCGCGGTTACTAGTATGCATTACATGGAATCATGTAATGCGCGGACAAGTCTACTCATCTCACGAGAACATATAGGCGTAGAAGTTTCCGCTCTCAAGTATACGTTACACGCACAGATACAACGCATAGGCTAAAATCCATACACTCCATTGGATACATATAGATATAGATGCGATTACCCCAGGCCGCAGCTCAGTGGCTTCTTCCGCTAAATGAATATCAAGTACTCAAATCAGTATGTAAATAAGTCGTCATAGACAGCATACCCATTTCACGCTCATACTACAAGCAGTTTTAGTATCGACTCTTATGCACTGGTTACGACACAGTTTCCGACCTACGCTCTGACCTGCCATTTCCAGACCTTATAGGCCCTTCCAGACAGGATCTGTTCAGGCACTAAAAGAAAGTTAACCTATCCCCTCTTGTTAATCAGAATTAGGAGTGGATGATTAGCCCTATCTCTACTATTTTCATCAGAGTGGATGGTCATTCCGGTTTTTTCTTTCCTGATTGCATTAGTTCATAGGGAAAACGATCACCCACTATCCAGTGAGTACTGCGCGAAAGTGCGATTCAGATATTACCGAACCCCGTTTAGTAGAATTGAGTAGTTCATTATTCTCTTGAATAAGGACTTGATAAGTTTGTTGCTGCGTTGTAAATCAATTCGATTATTTTCAAGTTTTGTTGTGCTTTCGATTATGCTATTGATAAGAAATCCAATGATTTTCCTACTGTATTCTTCACATAGTCGATAAGCCACATAAACCTATAATTAGATTTGTAATTGTAACAATTAATTATTTTTAAAAAATTTCATGAAACGATTGTCTAGTCAGTACCTTTGACAGTAAGCAAACCAATTTACTCAAGAATAATAGTTAATAGTTTCCAACAATCTCATGTATTTTGTTCCCTGTTCGAACATTACTCCATTTTATTTTAATTAGTCCACCATACGGCACATGTATATGATATAGCTCAGACTTGAGTATATTAGTCTGTACTTCATACGTACTTACGCCTGTTACTCCCAATGGAGCATAGGCCGCTGACCAGCTTTCTCCGACACACTCTGTCCTGGACCTTCTTTTCTAGTTCTATCCAATTTTCGTTCATTCTTCTCATGTCTGTATCCATTTCTCGACGTAATGTGTTCTTTGGTCTTCCTCTTCTCCTTTGGCCTTCAGGATTCCATGTGAGGGCTTACCTTGTGACACAGTTGGGTGATTTCCTCAATGTGTGTCGTATCCACTTCCAGCGCTTCCTCCTGATTTCTTCCTCCACTGGAATCTGGTTTGTTGTCACCCACAGTAGGTTGTGGCTGATAGTGTCGACGGATTCGAAGTATCTTGCGTAGAAAACTGTTAATAAACACCTGTATCTTCTGGATGATGGTTTTCGTAGTTTTCCACGTCTCCGCTTGATACAGTAGAACTGTTTTGATATTCGTATTGAACGCTAACCAGTCTGTACTTCATAGATTGGTTATAATCGGTAGACAGACATAGAAATTTTAAAGTATTTACTATCCTACGTTGAGAGGAGTTCATCAGGAGAAAAAAATCAAACAAATTCTTTGTAGATAATTCAAGTGGAGAATAAATGCAAAAAAAAGCTAAGGAGAAGGAAACATTTCAATAGTGCATCATTGAGATCAAAATTGAATCGAGATTGAAAAGTATAGATACTTTTTTTCTGAAGTTTATAAATCAGAGTGAATTGGATTATAGGTCCAAACTCTCTTCCATTTATTGTTGATTTGAGAGTCAGTCAGTCAGCTACAACGTAGGACCAGGCACATTTATGCATCGGTCCAAGTTGCCATACCTCGTTAGCACAACAAGAGGAACACCGGATTCATAGTAGTTAATCTAGTGTTGGTAGTAGTATATAAATTATAGGTTGTATATAAGGATATAGTACAGGAAGGAAGAGAGATATGAAGCAATTTTAGTCTCAAGGTTTAAAGGAAGATAAAGAGTGTATACACCTACGCCATTGTGATCGATTCTGAGCCATGTCACCTATAGTCTCCAACCACTGGTTACGATAGTCACGCGGACCCCAACCAGGTAGTCTGTATCTGCCAACATGGCTCAGACTAGAAGTTAGTGACTTCAAACACTGATGCCATGTTTTGGTTTGGCCGCCCCTAACTCTCTTCCAACAATCCCCAGTACTAGTCATCATAGCGCGTTGTGGTAATCGGTGTTCAGGCATACGTAACACATGGCCCAACCATCTCAGTCGATGAAGATTCATGACCTCATCAATTGATTTACCATCGTTCCCTAATACCCTGCGTCTAACCTCACTATTACTTACCCGGTGATCCCAGCAGATGCGAGCAATATTTCTAAGGCATCTGTGGTCAAATACTAGTAACCTACGAGTATCTTCTACTCCTAATGGCCATGTTTCACAACCGTAAAGTAGAACAGAGCGAACTGCTGCGCAGTATACTCGTCCTTTAATTGATAGACGGATATCTCGTCTTCGCCATAGGTGCCGTAAGTTGGCAAAAGCCAAACGAGCTTTTCGAATCCGTGCTGAGATTTCGTCAGACACCAACCCATTAGGGCTGATCAGACTTCCAAGATAAGTGAAGTTGTCGAGTAGTAGAAGTAGTCAGTATAGTATGACTAAATGTTACAGATAAGACGTATGACTCAAAGTGGAATACATGAACTTGTTTGATGTTATTGAGTTATTTAAATAAACAATACTAACATTTGCGAATACACTAGACTAACATGATCATGTGTTTTTTTCGAAAAGATAGCCAAGTACCTGTTACAAAACTAATGCCAGCATACATAAATATTTTTTTATGACTTAGTGATTAAGATATTCGATTTTTAGTCACCAGGCCAAATCCAAGATTCTAGACCCGCTCTCCCTAATCCATTTTGAGCAACCACATAGTATCACTAACGCATAGCCAATACCCGGTGAATGAATTTATTGATTTTTTTATTTTCAAAAGTAAACTATTCGATGAGTAAACAAAGATGGATAGTGGCTAGCCTTGGAATCCAGGACGTGCGTTTTGTCCTATTCGGGACTCGTCAGCCTCAGTGGCTGAGTGGATAACGTGATGGCTATTTTTTCCCCTCAAGATACTGGAACCCATGTGCACCATTGGTTTGGAATGAGGGTTTTTCAACTCCCCTAGATGGACCCGCCGTGTCCACCAACCTGGTTAAAGCGCCGGACATTCGCTTTTCATCCTCTCAATTTCATAAACAGCACCTCCGCCACTGTGAGAAGGCAGCGAGAAGGACTTCCCTGTCGACTAATATCCTGAACCTTGAACTATATAATCTTGTCATTTAATAAATTCATTTCTATATCATAAACAATTCTATCAACTTTTATTGTTTTTTTTTCTATTTTTATAGATTATTAACTGTTTATTTTAATTCTGTTAATATTATATCACAAGCATATTTTACTGTATGTCAATTGGATTTAGCTACAATGTGGCAATTTTATGGTTATCCGTAAGAATAATATAGTTTCTATGGGTTAATTAACTGTTATGATATCCTTTAATGAATGTTTATTTTTTTATTATTTTTTCTTATCACAACAATTATGAAATTATTAGTGCAGAGAGAGATGGCCAGTGGAGATTGGTGTATTTTGTAGTTTACATCACTTATTGACTTTAGTTGATGAGGTCATGAATCTTCATCGACTGAGATGGTTAGGCCACGTGTTACGTGTTCCTGAACACCGATTACAACGACGCGCTATGCTGACTAGTGTCGGGAAGAAAGTTAGGGGCTGCCAAACCAAAATGTGGCATCAGTGCTTGAAGTCACTAACTTCTAGTCTGAGTCATGTTTGTAGATGCAAACTACTTAGTTGGGGTCCGCATTACTATCGTAACCAATGTTTGGAGACTCTAGGTGACATTGCTCAGAATCTTCCCTTAAACCTTCAGATTAAAATTGCTTCATATCTGTCTTTCTTCCTATACTATATTTTTATATACAACCTTTTTTTATATATTACCACCACTAAATTAACTACTTCTATGAATCCGGTGTTGATCTTGTTGTGCTAATGAATGAGGTATGGCAACTTGGACCGATGCATAAATGTGCCTGGTCCTACGTTGTAGCTGACCGACTGACTTTAGTTAGATAATGATTGGAACCCAGAAAAGATTAGATAGCTATTTCATCCAGGTATGAGACTCCTCAGTGGTATAGTTCCATGATTACACGACAGTTGCCAACGAGCGCTTAATCCCTTAGGTCACTTGGTTAACGTCCAATGGCTTGTGTTTTTAAGTTTAATCAATTCTCAATATTGTGCAACTGTCATCTAATGTCATTGGTTTGTTAGTCATAAGGTTGTTATTATTATTCATCATGAACTGAAATCATTCAAAAAACTATAAAGCATGATAGAAGTTATTAAGTTTTCATTTCAAGTTCTTCAGTAGTGTGTTCACCCACGACCCTACACTCAAGATCTTGAACTAATAATAATCTTTATGTTTCACAATAAGCGTCCGTTTTTGATGACATAATACATTTCCTTTTTTCTTTGTCCAATGCATAAAATCAACATACAGAAATATGGCCACTGTATTGATGCAATGTATCATTAATGCAGATTGTTTAGAACCATGTCGTCATTCTGATACTGTATTAGCTAATGCTTTTGCAAATATTATTAAAGAGTTTAATTCTATGGTAAGTTTATTCGTATTTTCTTTATATATTATCTTATTGAATTGTGATTTTTCCACACAAGAGTAGGTTGGAGAATGCTCGTCGGCGGCCTATGCTCCATTGGGAGTAACAGGCGTAAGTAAGTAAGTCTCCACAAGACTTTAAAGTTACCATGGAATAGTCTAAATTTCTCATAGATTTCTTATGAAATAGGACAAAATGACTGTCCAGCGCACTTTAATAATTCATACAAGGACTGATGTTAAGCCCTGCAGATACCACTAATACATTTTTATTTATTTTCCTTTAGTAGTGGTATAATATTCGGTTCTTGTATTTGTGTGAAAAGTACATGAACTGGTCAACAAAGGCTTACTGTAATTGAGCCCCGAATACCCTGGTACGGCCGAGAGTGGGGAGAGTCCGCTCTCTCTCTCTCCAAATGCTCTCACATGGCCACGTGTATATAGCCTCTGCCAGAAAAGTCCTACTCATTGCCTTCTCACAGTGGCATTACTGTTGTTTACGAAATTGAGAGGACGAAAAGCAAATGTCCGGTGCTTTAACCGGGTTGGTGGACACTGCGAGTCCACTTAGGGGAGTTGGAAAACCCTCATTCCAAACTAATAGTGCACATGTTGTCCAGTATCCTGAGGGAGCAAATGGCGTATGAATTAATCGTTGTTCATCGGTTGCCATGAGACTGCATCTCCTGACGTTGTTCCACTGCCTTGTGGATCAGATCTATAGGTCAAAGGCTCGGGGTGTGGTCCCCGTAAGAAAACCACCTGCTTCAGCTTGGGCACCTGGGCGGTATCACAGTCCACACATAAATGAGATTTGTGTGGCGTATATGTATATGATTCCCCTTTGTACCAATATTTATGTGTTTAAATAAATAAATACTGTAATTGAATTTATATATTAAGCTGAGTGGTAAACCATATTTTAGTGTTGAATATGTGAATAGTGACAGTTTGGTTCATGATCATAATTGAACTCAGCTCTACTGTTAGCGATATGATCTGTAGAATGTGTAGATACATCAGATCAAGAACAGATGACGTTGATTCTGCTATAGTTTTAAATTTCTTTATCTGTCACGATCAGCTGTTATCTTAATAGCAGCTCTTTTTTTAACAGAATCTTAGTCCTTGGTTTATTCAGCAGACAATCTTACAAAGAATATTTATTGATAGTGATCTAAAAAAAAGTTGATTTAAACAAACTACATTTATGAATGAATACATCTACAGAGATCTTAAAAATAGGGTATAGACTTAGAGTACTAATAAAGCTTTTGGCAAATGAGAAATTAGCTTCTTAAATAGTGATAAAAATAAACGAGTATATTGGCGGGATAGGATGTTAGGTGTGAAAAAACACGGAAATTCGAATTTACGGGAATAAAAGTAGCGAAGTGGTGTTTGAGTGAATAGTTTACTGGGGATTTTGCATCCTTATCAGTTTATCAGGTAAACATTTCTAAGTTTTGTGAAAATTTTATCTCTCTCTTTCTCTTCAAAGGGATCAATTGAGACAGCACTAAAGTTGTCTAAAATATGTCGATCTACACTGTGTCGTTTTCCAAACCAATCACCTTTGTTACAAGCCAGCATGGAAGTTGAGCTAGAGCAACATCTACGATCTGGTTATGATTTAGCTCAATGTGATCGTTTAGTCAATTCACTAAAACTTTATTGTCCATGGGAATCTGCTATAAGGTAAGTTTATCATTGATTAGTTGTAGTTAATTCTTGTCATAAAAACTGACACCAACCGTTGAAAATGAAAAAAAATCGCCGTACAGTTTTTTCATTTGACTAAGGAGTCCCGAATCAGTACAAAATAGCTATTCAGCACTTCGATAGGATTTCAATAGGAGTTCTCCAGCTGATATAAGTTTATTGACAAAAAAACAACCAACTTCCACGAAAACAGATACTTATGCAGAATAATACATATCGGTTAAACAAATTTTAGGGGACTAGAGTTTGGCTGTTTATTTATGTTTTAGTTTGGCAATTATTTGATCACAAACTATTGGGAGATTTCTATTATTCGAAATGAGATTTAGACCAAATATACAGATTGGATAACTGATGCTCAACAACACTTCGATGTTGATGATCCGTATACGAATAAGAGGAGAAAGTCGAGACTTTCATGGGACCTTTAATATTCCTAAATGAAGTCAAGAATATGATATAACAGGTCTGTTTATATAATGAAAACCATGATCTTAGGCATCTATAGTAAAATGACTGTCCAAAAGAAGAAGTAACTAATAAGAGAATTGCAAATACCAGCGCGGTAGTATGAATCGAAATTTACGAAGGACTTGGTTATTCGTTATAACCATGGTTGAATAACCAAAGAAATTTTTAAAGTATAATTTGCTAACCAAACTATTAAATCTAAGAGTATCAATATCAAGGGTGGATGTGATAAAAAAAATGTAATTATTTTATTATTACGATAGTAGGTATATACACTCTTTATCTTCCCTTAAACCTTCAGATTAAGCTTGCTTCATATATGTCTTCCTTCCCATACTATATCCTTATATACAACCTTTCTTTTATATACTACTACCACTAAATTAACTACTTCTATGAATCCGGTGTTGATCTTGTTGTGCTAATGAATGAGGTATGGCAACTTGGACTGATGCATAAATGTGCCTAGTCCTACGTTGTAGCTGACTGACTGAAGATAGCAGATATTTCATATCTGATTAAAAGCCAAATAAAGCTTACTAATATTAACTTATCGAGACTCTTTAAAGTGATAAACATGGGAAGATTAAAGAAAAAAGGATTATAATCTTATAGATTTTCGAAGACAATTTAATAGTTCCTAATAGATGAAATCAATAAACTAACTGTGTAACCTTTCATTTATTCAGAAGTTTTGTGGATATTTCAGTATTTTTCAAAGTTGAAACCATTAGTCAATTGAAGCTAGACCACCATGGAAAACCTGGAAGCACTAGACGGCCGTTTTGTCCTATTATGAGACTCCTCATCAGTGCGCATCCACGATCCCGCACTCGCGAGATTCGAACTCAGGAGTTCAACCACGTCTGTTTTGAGATAACATCTCACTGAAAACAATTGGTGAATGGTCGCTCAAAATTTCGCTTTCATTTATTATTTACAAAGCTTTTGTCCGCTCGATTTCTAACCATTAATCCTGATTCGTAACCTAAATTTCAAACTTTGACTTTTAATTTTAAGCTTTTTCCTGTCTTATTCAATAAACTTCATTTATTCACCTTCATTCTGATTGGCTAGAAGTTGACTTTATTTCCTCAGAATCATTTAAAGTTACCAAAAGAATCAGTCAACAGTATGTCATTAGTGTAAACTGGTTTTGATCATCCATAAGTTTATTTAATCGAAGCTTAATTTTTTAGAAGTATAGAGATTACCCTATCAACTTATAGACGTAGTAGGTTCATTTAATTATCGTCTATGGATCTTATTCTTGTTATATTTTATCTTAGATAACTACTTTCCTTCATTTTGATACACGGTAAGAAATTTAATTGGTAGAATACTCCTCTCAGCAATCGATTTGGTATCTTCAGTGATGTAATGCTGCTATACATGAAGTCGTTGTTTACTTGTATAAACTATGTTCAAATAAATAGATTTTTGGATTAGGACGCATACAAACTACTTTAATTTATAAGCAGAGATGGATAGTGGCTAGCAATGGAATCCAGTTTGACGCGCGTTTCGTCCTATTTGGGACTCGTCAGCCGAATGTACCTGCATCTTGGAATTGATGTTCACTGTGGCACTGCAACCCAGTACCGTTCGCTTCAAACACCATCACGTTATCCACTCGACCAATGACTCCTCATAGTCACTTGCTTGTGCAATCGGTTCAAGTTGAAATTCACTTATTATTGCTTGTTTGAATCTTCCCATCGATGTTTTAGGACTGCAACTGGTCATTCTCTAATTGGCATATGTGCATACTGTGCGTATTGCCTCGATATAGCCTTAATTCACAAATAAGGCGTCAAACTGGATTCAACTGCTAGCCACTATCCATCTTCGCTCACCATGCTTGTGAATTTAGGCTATATCGAGGCAATACGCACAGTATGCACATATGCCAATTAGAGACTGATCAGTTTCAGTCCTAACACATCGATGGGAAGATTCAAACAAACAATACTAAATGAATTTAAACTTTAATTTATGCTTAAAAATGTTAATGAATATGACACGTAATTTCCGACCATACAATCGCACGTTTCCACGCATTCTCTGTGTTATCTTCTACATTTTTCTAGCTATATGTCATTCCTAGCTCTTATCACTCATCAATCTTATTTGTTTCTTTTAAAGTGTACTATTTATGTTCAGTTTTCCACTGTCGTTTGTATTATTGCTTCTCCTTTACCTCTCTACATCTTGTTGATTTCCTGTCTTAGTTTACTAATTCTGGTAAGGTGTGGAAACTGGAATCGATACTTCATTGATGCCATTAGTTTTTTTTACAGCATTTGACTAACTAATTATATAGCTTGTGTATGTGCACATGTAGGTGTATGAAATCACACCCGTAGTCAGTTCGTTTTTACAATAAAAATGATCTTTCATATGGATATTGCATTATAGAATGTTAGTTTATAATTATATTTTCTAATCTATAGGCAAGCTGAAGTTGAACAGAAACGTGGCAATGTATCTTATACACATGATATTCTACGGTATATTATTGACACTATAATTGCAAGACGTGATAATGACTGTGGACTGTTACAACAATCGGCAAAAAATAACCATAATAACCAATTACTACAATCAAATGAATTATGGAGTCAAACAAATCCATTCTCTCACTTAATATTGCCTACATTTCCTGAACATACTCCTGTTGGTGGATTATGTAAATTAGCTCTGATTGAGCTGCGTGCACATTTAGCTTTAGTAAGTACATATTTTTTTATACAGTTCAATCACTTAGATTTGTTTTGTCCTCACTAATAAGTATGGATTATACTTATAATCTGTCTAGTAAATACAATAACTCAGATCACAACATTTAAGGGGAATCAGGTTTTTCTCATTTGTGATAATGCACTTATCCCATATCCATTCGAAATATCCGTAGAAGTTAAGCTGTAGTGCTATGGAATCCTACACAGCTTATTCTTGCTTCTGGACAGACCAATCTGTTCATTCTTCGTGAGTCACATTTTTTGACCTTGTCACTTACTTGCTTATCAACCTTGACTGTTTTTATGTAAGCGTATGCGTGTGCATTTCTTATCCTATTCATCACATGTGTGGTTAAATCAAGTTGGATCACATGCCTTCTCCACTGCGCCTCATTTCGTTCCGCTCCTCTTCATTGACTGTGATTCTCTGTCTGTTCAGATCAACGACTGTAGGAAATAAACTTATTTGACTTGCTTAATTCCGTTATTCACTTAGTCGATTTAAGTTGATAATTATATACGAGGATTGGCGATATGTCTATTTCAATAACAATCATTCATACGACCTCACTGGAGTCCGATATAGGGCCACTAAAAGGTTACTCAGTTACTTTGTGGTACAGATCAATCAACCAAACATTAGATTAGCTAAACAGAGAACACAATAGACTGCATATGTCCAATATAACTTACTTTCTATATAGCATAGTACTCAACAACTTGGAAGGAATTCAATTCTTATCTTCCTTCAACTTTCTAGGTAGCAGAAATCGATTGTTGCGTCATTTGATACAAAACATATGTATTATAAATTCTCATTTTACTGTCCAATTCCTATGAAATACTGTTGCCTTAGCTCTTTGCCATTCTCTACATATCGAACATTTTATACTTTATTTATTGAATATCTATCGTCCGAACATTGAGTTTACACCTAGATCAATTTGAACAGTAGGATATAAAATCATCAGCCTTTACATACACATAGAAGTGTAGCTCAGAATTCAAAAATCCGTATCCAGTTAATGATTTCCATTAGTGACTGACATTAACTAGGTAACTGTCCTATATACTAGTTTGAAAATTTTTTTCAATTCGCACAATTGACTTAATGACTTATAGAGCGAAGTTGAACTTAGAATGTTCATTCCTCGCAGCCAGCACGATGCTCTTTAGATGGTTTGAGTCCTAACTCGATAATTTATATTGTTGTAGAGAAACTTTACAAAAGGATTATAAAACTATTTCATTCTTTGTAAATATGACAGTTAATCCCGTCAATACTAGAAAATAACAATGTTAAACAACATTTGAGCATTATCAATGTATTTTCATAGTTGAAATCATGAGTCAATTGAAGCTAGACCACCATGGAAAACCTGGAAGCATTGGACGGCCATCTCGTCCTATTATGGGACTCCTCAGCAGTGCGCACCCACGATCCCGCACTTGCGAGGTTCGAACCCAGGACCTACCAGTCTCCAGCCAGAGCCCTTAACTGATAGACCACTGAGCCGGCATACAACGGTGTTAATGTTTACCTTCAACCAATCCACAAAGTTGAGCAACCGTTCATCAATTGTCTTCAGTGAGTTGATATCTCTACAACAGACTTGGTAGAACTCCACTAGTCACTGCTTCCCACCAGAACTCAAGGAGATATCTCTTGAAGTCAGTCACTAGTGACCATATGATTATAGATCAGAAGGGGTTTTGTGGAGAATTTAGTTACTACAATTCGTTAGTCGGTTAGTTGTTCTTCAATTTTGTATAACGCTAAACACTTTTCGTTTGTCGTATCTCTTACTTGGCAGATTGAATTGTTGATTACATTGAAGCTTTATGTGTATGCTTTCAACGAAATCGATATAACATTAAAGTTATGTAAACGTTATCGATTAAGTTTAGGCATAGAGATGATCAAATTATTACAATGTGCTATACATTTATCCATGAATAACAAAATGGCAATTAATGATAATACTAACAATCCTAACGACAAGAATACTAAAATTGACCATACAAATAATGATGTTGATTCAAGCTCCATATGGATACATGGATTAAAACAAGCAAATCCTAATGTGACATTTGAGTTGAATGCTAGCTTAGAAGAAATGTTACATCGTACAGATCAATTAACAAAATTTCGTTGTCAAGTATTTCTTAGTCGTACACGACTTTTAATTGATACCAATGAGAATAATCATTCATGTAAGTCAATATATGTACATTTGTTAGTTGTGTTATTTATTTCTTGTAAATTATAGGAAAGTTGCCCCCAAATGCCTTGGTACGGCCGAGAGTGGGGAGACTCGGCCCTCCCTCTCGAAATGCTCTCACATGGCCCTGCGTATATAGCCTCTGACAGGGAAGTCCTACTCACTGCCTTCTCAAAGTGGCATTACTGTTGTTTACGAAATTGAGATGACGAAAAGCGAATGTCCGGCGCTTTAACCGAGTTGGTGGACACTGCGAGTTCATCTAGGGGAGTTGGAAAACCCTCATTCCAAACCAGTGGTGCACATGGGCTCCAGTATCCTGAGGGAACAAATGGCATATGAATCAATTGTTGATCACCGGCTACCATGGGACTGCATCTCCTCACGATGCTTCATTGCCTTGTGGGTTAGACTTTTAGGTCAAAGGCCCCAGTTTGGGCACCTGGGCAGTATCACAGCCCTCACACAAATCGAATGAGATTTGTGCGGCACATATGTATCTGGTGTCTCTTTGTACCAATATTTATGTGTTTAAAAAAATAATAATAATAGGAAAGTTATTCAACACAACGATGATAATAATATTCTTTCCATTTACAATTTGGATTTCATATCAGTGACAGGAACTAAGGAATTCTCAACATTATTGACTCATTTTAGGCTGATTACTAATTAGTATTAATGTTGTCTAGTTTTCATTGTCAGTCGAATTTTATTGACCAAGGGTTACACAGTCAGCTTAGAGATCAGTTAGTGTAAATAACTTAGTTTTAAAAGAGTTTAGTGGAGTCCCAAACAGTACAGTGATGCTAGATAATTTAAGTTAGTATCCAACAGGGAGCATCGATCCCTTGAAGATTGTGGACACAATTGACTGCTGATCAGTGTTAACCAACATAAAACCTAGGTACTAGAATTTCTGGCTTCAGCTTTCTACCACTGAGTTAACTCAAGTAAAAGATTTTTATCAACCTATTGATATCAGCGAACTGAGTTACGTCCGTAATACAGTTGTTGTATTGTGTGAACTCATTAAATCATGCTATGTCCTCAATCGGCTTATCTGTGTTTTTTTCATTCTGCTTCAACTCTAGTCTCTAACACGACTAGAGTCGTAGCCACTATACAAATGCAATAGGCCTAACATCATCTTAACCGAAAGGAATACTTGCCTATCCATGTATAACACTTCAGTTTAAGTTAATACGGTATAGATATCTGCACGATGGAGTACCTGTTGCGATCATCCAACTTACTAAAACTGCATGAAAGTACCTATGAAATACAACCAACAAACTTTATCACACTATTTACTTTCGATGTGTAACATGCATGGTCGGTCGAGTAGAAAGCACATGCTGAATAGTGTGAAGTCTTCATTCAGATTAAATTCTATGCAAGAGAAACTTGGAATTACAATGACACTGTATTTGCTACAAATCAAGGAAATAACAATTCCCGAATCTGTTTAAAACGTACTCTAGTAGCTGTGAACTACCGCTCGAAGACTGTAAAACACTGTGATCACATACGAATACATTTCACGGAATATAAAAACTAGTACATATGTACAAACTTTTACCAATTACAGGAGGCCCGTGTATTCGTTCACTGACCGTAGATCTTACCCTGACACATTAGGTGGATAGAGTTATGCAGTTTACAACACTTGTCTTTCGTGTTTTCACCATGCCAACCAAATCGGTTGGAGATAGCGGTAAAACCAAAGTTCAAGTAAAGGTCTTTCTATCGACTTTACTAGCACTAAAATGTTTCGTGCAAATAGCCAGCATTTTCAGTAATCCTGCCTTCCCACAGACAGACAAAAATCGAAAGATTGGTGCTAAGAACAGTAGCCCCCCATGCACCATGGACTTCTAATCCTCCCAGGTTTAAAAGAGCGTCATTACTAACCCGATCTTTCTTCTTGAAGTGTGGGCAATCAGGTGTTACTCACCGCCCACACATCTCTCTGTCACTTGAATGCATCTTCCAACTTTGACTTAACTTATTTCTTATCGTTTTTTTTCTTTTGTCACTTGTAGTTATTCAAATGCATATGACAGAACTCTTAAAAGCACTCAACTATTATCGACAATTAGATGATAGAAAACGTGTGCTTGACATCCTAGTGTTAATGGTATGTTAAATTATTGAGATAATTTATCAAAACTAATTTCTTATTTAATATGACTCTTGTCTATCAAGTGTAGGTGTGTGTACTCTGTATTTATTCATACTGCTTTTGTGTGAAGTACTAGGAACGCTAGCCAAGCTACCCAAACATAAGTTGTGAAGCATAGTTCATATCCGCAGTTTAGTAGTTGATAGACGAGTGTGTTAACTACCCTCTAACAAGAAATCGTTTATCGTTGATCATTAAGATTAATCCCATCAATATTTACTCACGTACTGTAATAATAGATAGATACTCGACTTTTGATCATTATTAACATCAATTCAATATAACTTGATTTTCGCAGTATGAAAAATTCACTTCAGAGAGGGATATATAAAAATCATAAGCATAACCCACGAATCATTTGTTTTATGCCAGCAGGCTTATTGTAACTCACTAGTACTGTTCAAAGCGACCAATGTCAGTATAGAAACACCATTTGAAAGTATTCGTTCTTACCAATACAGATTATATGGACTGCTGCGCTAATACCGACTACCAATTGTGCTATCTATTTTTATGCCGTGTAGTAGTTTGATTGTTTTGCTGTTAATGACTTCTTGCTTTTAAGTATGTCCATGAGGCCTAATCACATAGCTCCCTTCCTCGTCATGTTATTTTTAGTAAACTGTGGTATATTCTTGATGACTACTAAGAAAGTTGTTTATGCATTGGGTCATAAATCACATTTAATTTCGAGAGGTAACTATCTTTGACATAATTTCTAGACCTACTTAACCTCAAGCTTGTCGTCATGGCTAGTCTCTGGTACTGCCCTAACCCCCTATACCGAAGGGAGCAATTTTCTTCTTGAACCTTTGACTGAAAAACTTAATCACGATTTCCTTAATACAATGAGTTTGTAAATGGAAACTCAGTCAGTTGTAGTGAGTATGAACAAATATGTATCTTCAGAAGGGGGTTTGTGAATATTTCAGTATTTTCATAGTTGAAATCATGAGTCAATTGAAGCTAGACCACCGTGGAAAATCTGAAAGCACTGGACGACCGTTTCGTCCTATTGTGGGACTCCTCAGCAGTGCGCAAAAGTTATTTCCTGGAGTTCCAGTGAGAAGCAGTGACCAGTGGAGTACAACCAGGTCTGTTGTGAGATAGTAACTCACTAAAGACAATGGTGGACGGTTGTTCAATTTAGTGGATTGGTTGAACTTATTATTAACCTTCTACCTAATGCTCAATTTATTGAAAACTATCAAGTCCAATCTTGGCATTGATACCTATAATAGTTAATGGCTCCGTTTTCTAATGACATATCTTGGTTCGATCGTTCTTAACTTTCTTTTATATCCTTAATTTCATAAGATTAAAGAAGTCTGTTGAAATGGTTATATATTTACAAGAACATACATTTAATATTTTTATTGACATATGTATATATTTCTATTTTTTAGGCAGCAGCATTGAACTCAGTCAATGAATATGTGAAACGAAATGAAGTGTCCAAATCATTTCATATATTGCGTGAACATTTTGGTTTTAAAAGTTTACCTTCAAACCGTTTTGTTGTTGATATTTTATAAACAAGATGCATTTTTGTAATAAGTGTTATATATATATATATATATATATATATATATATATATACAATTTAAATGTGTGTAATCACAATTTTGTTAATTCCAGTCAGTCACTTTAACCGAGAAAACATGTTGACATGTTTATGATATCTGCTTTACAACTCTGTGGAAGTTAGAGCGTTTAAAGTCCGAGTGAATCTTGAAAATAAGTAGTATTCGATTTACAGGGTTTTACTGAAAAACGCAGAGTTTTCAACTATATTCAAAGCTTAGATCACATTTAAAAACCGGTTCCATACGACAATGTTAAATTGCAAAATAACGTAGGTTCTACAGCATAATTTCGTCGCATTGAGTTGTCATACCTCACAACATAACGAAAAATAAACAAGATGAGAATTTTAAAGAAGTTGAAAGAATAGTATTTTAAATGGCTATGAAAAAGTTAAATAGAGAATACACCATAAAAAGGAATGAACTCGAAAAATAAAAGATAGATGTTAAGGTTTAGTGTCGACAGGAAGATAAGGAATGAATATATAGGCTACTTTGGTAAACGCTAAGTTGTCGATTAACGTAATCAATCAATTCCGACTAGTAATTACTATTTCAAAGTATATCACGACTGTTTTCCAATACCGAATGTGAGAAATGGTAGGATTAATCTGTTTTGTAAATGCCAACCAAAACAATCTAATGGATAGAAGTCCACTCTTTCCCAATGTCTTTTCTGTATCATCCAGTTTCAATATCAAACGGAGGGAAATCACCTGTTAACCATATAATGTACAGAAATAACGCCTTTGGAATACTCGTGCAAAAATCAGCACAACATTCCTAACTGTGCTGCGAAGCTTTGATTGGCAGATGTCTCTATCATGCCCCAGTATGGTCGAGGGTGAAGAGCGTCAGATCTCCCTCTCGATATGTTCTCACATGGCCATGCGTATACAGCTACTGCCTTATCGTGGCGCGAATGTTTACGAAAATGAGAGGACTAAAAATGAATGTCCGGGAGCTTCAACCGTGTTAGTGGATATGATTTAGTGTTCTTTATCTGTCTCCAAATGAATCGTAGGCCAATTGTTATTGAAGTATACATCCCGGCTACCCTTGTATATAATCGACCTAAATCGCGTCAGTGAATAACGGAATTAAGTAGATACCCGATTGCATTTTTCATACGTACATTTCTTACAATCGTTGATCTGAACAGACAATGAGACGAAGTGAACGAAACGAAACTTGGCAACTCGCAGCGGTGGAGGCAAGTGAAGCAACTCCATTTAATCAACCGTGAGTCAATATTTATAATCAAACAAAATAAGTTACGGACACAATGAATAGAGTAATTAACGCACACGTAAATAAGAACGTACAGGGTTAAGCGAATAAGTGGCAAAGAAAAAATGACTTGGGAAGAATGAATAAACTGGTCTGTCCAGAGGCTGGAATAGCCTACGCGAGTTTGACACAGTACCAGCCCCTGCGATGGGAGGTCCACATGGAGTCGGGAGACCCAGATTTCCAACCAATGGTGTACATGGGCTTCAAGATTCTGATGAATTATAAGGGCCATGGCCACCATGAGACTGTCTCCCGATGTTGCTCCACCACCTTGTTGATAAGCCCTCTAGGTCAGAGGTTCTGAGAGTGGTAGCCTAAGAAAGCCACCTGCTTCGGTTTAGTCACTCGGGTAGTATTGTAGTCCTCGAATAATGAAGTGCATATATATTTGGTGTCCTGTGCCAATGTTTGATTGAAAACAAATGAAAAGTATACTGACTCGCTACAAGGGAGATTGAAACTGGTTGCTTAGTTCCGCATCCAAAGACACTGTCACTGAGTAATCGTCGAGGACTTGCAAAGCTTAGCTGTATACGGACAAAATGCTCGCTAAGTAGAGGGACTTCTTATTTGGAATCTGTGTAATTAGTAACTCGACAATGAACGATATGAATATAAATAGTCAGATAAACGATTATGATTAAGTTTTTTACATCCTAGTGTCAATGTTTCAACTTTCATTACTCTATTGCACCGGTTATTTCGTAATATTTACTCGGATTTTAGTTCACACCATTATTTACGCTATTTGTTCCTTTTCTGTCTCGAATTTAAAGTGAAGTACCTCATTCGAGTGACAGTTGTGTGATGCCCTATGTTGTGCATCACCAAGCCGCACTGGACAGTCAGACACCTGTATATGAGCCGAGAAACTTCACTGTAACATTTTATTTACGTTTCTTCAAAACGATATTAAAGAACATGGAATTCAAACTAGACAAAGTGGGTTAATCGTTGTGATCTTCATAATCTATGAAGTCAACCCAAAATTATCTGGTGGCTTAAACTTAACACTTAAGTCATATTTTACAAAATTCAGTACAATTACGGTGATAAATTACTTTAGAACCAAGTTACAAAGTAGCACGACGTTTGTGCGGGAATTATTTTGGGTAGCTTTTCGGACTTATTGTCCCAAACTCGTTAAAACGGCACCAACACAAGTCATAGTAAAGGAGCAGACAAGAACACAAGCAGTTTATCAAGGGATTTTCGGACGTTATGTCCAAAATGATATTGGTTCCGAGGTTGGTAAAATATTAAGATCAGACACTTCAAGTTTCGGATGTATTTTACTCACACAGAACTGGATGGCCTATAAAAAGAAGGTTTTGACCAACCTAAAAACAGCAAATATGGTAACTGCGCAGTACTCAAGACGAATCAATAAAAAACAAGTTCGTATATTATATGTTTGGTGCTTGTAGATTACAAATGCCAGCTCACAAATTAAATTTTAAGAAAGAATAATCATTAATTTCCAACAATTATGCTGTTAATAGGGACGAAAATTAATTTGATGATGAATCCAAGTACGCCCATGGCCAGAAATCCAATTGCAGTAGCAATAGCGTTTTTCTTAAACTCTACGAATAGAAATCTTCGAGAATTAATGCTCACCTTTACGATCTGGTTTCGTACATCGATTGATAAAATGTACAGAATCCTTAGAAAATTGAACCAGAGGCTCAGCCAGAGTCGAAACCCTATCCATTCCCAACACGTACGTAAATGACAGTTGAAATTGCGCTATTACGACGATTATAAATTTAAGTTATATAAACACATTCCAGAATACAAATACAGATTAGTTGATGTCTTAGCTCTTGAACTTTAGTATTTAGATGTACTATAAGAACTAGAAAGCACTCAGTGCAACATTTAGTAGATTAATATCTGAATCTAAGGATACTCACATTTCTTCCAACTACAATTGATCTATCTAAACTGAATATATTTATTTTAGTGTTCTACTGGCTCATTCTTTTCACACGTTTCGGAGTATTATCTGAATTTTGTGCATATTGTCTTTCAGTTTACCAATACTCAGAGGTTTCTTATTATTCGTTTGATAACATCCTATGTGCGACAGTCCCATGTAGGATATTATAAACTAAGAAGTCACATCATGGAATATCACAGCTAGCTGAAATTCTTCCATAAAAAATAATAATGTTGGACATGTCTTCTACAAATCCGCTGAGGTTGTAGTGGCATTGGGCCCTAACCACATAATCCCCAAAGTTGAACACGAGACAACTAGGAATCTGGATATTCAGCATGTAATGCGGAAAAAACCAACAATGGATGAAGGAACAGAATTAGTTGGATCTAATCAGGTGGTATGGCTCAGCCTTGCAGGCGTGTTCACTAATGTATGCTTTCTTATCTCTTTCATTCATACTAAATTTGTTTTTCTATCTACAGCCTGAATGTGTTCTCTATCATATAATTGTGATGATTACAATAAAACTAGTAAGCATAGACAATGATGCGACATCCACATGAGATCTTATAGCTCAGATAGTCACATCATGAGGAATCTAAAATTTTAGGATTGGGTCTATTATCAGAGCAGTATTAATAACGAAGTAGACCCTAATAAAACAATGTCACCAATTACTTAAAATGATGGTGAAGAAGACAGTGCCAAAACCGCAGAGAACAGTAAATTATCGGTGAATATATACGCTACAATATGCAATCTGTAGGGTATCAACTTATACACTATGAACTACCCCTAGATGTTACAGTATTCGACGGCGTGCTCCTCATTATTTTTCATATAACCCGAGCGATTCATAGGATTGACATCATTATATTAGGTTGCAGTCGACAATTTCTCCATGAGTCGAACGACTCATGTCCACAAATTATTTCAGGTATTGCAATAGTTGGTGGGATGAACCTCCAGTAAACAAATATCACTCACTGTCCACAAGTGTATCCAAGTTTACTTTTGAGAACAGAAGCTTCCTAGGATTGGAATATGGTTGTATCTTAACTTAAAAAGAACTATCTCTCTGGTAATCGATTGTCTCATCAGCCTTATGAACTTCGTTTTTTGGAAAATGAACATGACAGCAAACCTTAGCTCCGCCTGTTGCTCTTCTAGAGTTATTGCCGATCCCAAGCCCGGATAAAGGAGGATGGCTGGGCATGGGGTTAGCGACCCCATCCCGTAGAAAAACTAACTCGCCAAAAAATGCTAACCATAAAATATAATTCAAACCATTTAAACTCTGCCCTGAGAGTTGAAGAAAGAATTTTGATGCCTCATTTTGAAAGCCGTGATTTTTCGGAACTCATGAGGCCGATGCCCCTTTCTAACAACCAGAGCAACACTCTTTATAGGTACATGGAACGTCCGAACAATGCGCAAGGCCGAGAACACCAGTAAATTAGCAACGAAAATGAGGAGATATAAATTGGCAGTACTCAGAATCAGCAAAACCCATTGGACACAAACTGGACAACAAAGGCTAGATACAGAAGAGATGCTACTGTACTCTGGTCACGAGGGGGATAATGCTACACACACTGAGTGAGTTGCTTTAATGCTGTCCAAAGAAGCACGAAATGCACTTGTAGGATGGGAATCTCATGAACCCAGGATAATCAAAGTATCATTCAGAACAAAGAAGCAAGGGATCGCAATGAACGTTATCCAATGTTATGCACCCACCAATGATAGCAACGACGATGATAAAGATCAGTTCTATGAAAGGCTGCAATAAATTATAGAGAAGTGCTCACGAAAGGACCTCACAATCCTGATGGGAGATTTAAATGCTAAAGTTGGGGTGGACAACACAGGATATGAAGATATAATGAGACGACAGGGACTAGAAGAGAGAAATTAAAATAGGGAGAACTTTACAAATCTATGTGCATTCAAAAAATTGGTTATAAGTGGCACAATATTTCCATACAAACGAATACACAAAGCTACATGGATCTCGCCGGACCACACCACAGAGAACCATATAGATCATATTTGTATCAAGAAATACGGATCATCGTAGGACAATCAGTTGAGTGGAATTCGTCAATATACATCAAATTCATTGACTATGAGGTGTTTGACAGTATGAACAGCAGAACATTACGGAAACTTCTTCGACACTATGGACTTCCTGAGAAGATTGTCAAGATTATCCGGAACTCGCACGACGGACTACAGTGCAAAGTCTTGCATGGAGGACAGCTAACAGATGCATTTCCAGTAAGGACCGAAGTCAGATAAAGCTGTCTACTCTACCCCTTTTCTTTTTCTTCTGGTGATTGACTGGATTATGAAGACTTCTACATCCGACAGGAACCACGAAATACATTGAACGTCTCAGAATCAATTAGATGATTTGGACTTCGCAGATGACCTAGCCCTCGCATCTCATACACACGAGCAAATACAGACAAAGATAGCAAGTATTTCAACAGTCTCTGCATCGATAGGCCTCAACATACTCAAAGGAAAAAGCAGGGTTCTCAAATACAACACGGAAAACACTAATCCAATCACACTTGTTGGAGAAATTCTGGAAGAGGTGGAAACATTCACGTACCTGGGAAGCATCGTTGATAAATACAGAGGGTCTGATGCAGATGTAAAGTGAGGATTGGCAAAGCAAGGACAGCCTTTCTACGATTGAAGAACATATGTAACTCAAAATTACTTTCAGCCAATATCAAAGTAAGAATCTTCAATAAGAACGTCAAGATAGTTCTACTGTATGGAGCTTAAACGTGGAGGGCTACTAAATCCATCTTCAAGAAGGTACAAGTATTTATAAACAGTTGTCTTCGCAAGATGCTATATATCCATTGACCGGATACCATCAGCAACAGTGTTTTATGGGAGAGGACAATGCAGCTACCAACTGAAGAGGAAATTAAGAAAAGACCTTGGAAGTGGATCGAACATATATTGAGGAAATCTCCAAACTGCATCACGAGACAAACCCTAACTTGGAATCCGGAAGGGAAGCGGAAAAGTGGAAGGCCAAAGAACAAATTGATTTTATTGTCGTTCCGAAACAACCATAGCTTCTTTGAAAATTTTCAGTATAGAATCTCGCTACCGTCCGCAAGAAGAGCTTACGTGTAGAGATCGATCGCTGGGTTGAGTCACACTGTAAAGTTAGTAGGATTGGTATGATATAAATCTTGACTAACTGAGCTGGATATGTTACCACATCATTCACAACACTCAATATACTTATTATGGTGCCGAAGCTTTTGGGAGCTATTGGAATCAAATACCGAGCTTTCTCCTCTTTCTTCTCAACGGCTTGGCAAGTTACGTTCGAATATATTGAAGATACCACTAGTATTGTAGTTTGACAACTGTTTACCAGTAACACCTATAATCGAATCGCGCCCACCCAGTTAAAATCAGAATTCAGAAGCGAGGAGGTTGGAAGATATATTTGATGGGCTATCAATATGTCGAGAAGTGACTAATCTAATCTGGCCAATGATCGTAAGAGGTGTTTCCCACGCCGTTCTGCAACGTGATCTGGTACGAACGAGTCCACTTAAACTAATGTGGTCAGTATCCAATGCCGAATACTTACAGAGCAATTGTTTTGGGGAATTATTTACAACCACAATATATATACATCTACATCTACATACAGTTTTCCAACAATTCATCTATTTCGGTTGCTGTCCTTGAAGCTATCCCATATAAAAAGGTTACAAGTTCTCGGTTAGTTGGTAACTCCATTTGTTAAGAACATAAAATTTCTTCACAAATGCTAAATCAACTCAAATTGATCTTTAGTGAATCCTTAATTGTGCATTAAACGAAGCCTTCGATACTTATTTTGACTAAATTAAACCAGTCACAGAACCAACGGACACGGTTGAATGATTCATGGTTGCGCCAAGTGTGGAAGACAATGTGAGTCATGTTTGAGTTGATTTTAAAAAACTCTCGAATCTAAGACTCACCAAGTATTCTAGCTGAAATAAAAAACATCTAACTATCTCAGAGCAGTGAGACGCCCACTAACCATGAAAAAGTCTGATTCGACAACCAATACATTCACAGAAACTATCAGATCACTTAATAGCTTGTAATACCACCCCTGGTTTCCAACGGAAGGTTTGAAATGAACCAAATCATGAGCTTAGCTTTCACCGACGCCAAAAGTATTGACTGGCCCAGTAGATAGTCAAATAAGTTCATTGACGGCAAAACCAGTTTGCGTAGCGCACTATATGTTCTGAAATATTAAGTATATTGGCGGCAACACTATCGCGCTTTCGCTTTTGAAAAGCTTATCAGTCACTTGGCAAACTTCAGAGAACTGCACCAAAGTAGATCGTATGAATAACAGGCTAAACCTATGAATACAAACTTCATCACATGGAACTGTACTCGACAGGTCACAGGAGGTCAC